TTTTAATGCCCACCAAAAAATTTATTCAGAAGGAAAAACAAAGGGAGACATAAAAAGTTACATACAGGTCATATATCAGGGGTAGCAATACAGTAGCAATACAGTATATTCTTGGTTTCATATCTACCCTGAATGCTAGTTGACAAAGAAGTCCAATTTAGGGTAGTACTTTTTAAAACAGTATGCTTCACTAATCTTATAGTTTAAGTGAAGCATTCCTCCTTGGTGAATTAAAGTCATGCTGTTTTGAAAGCTATTTTGCCCTTTACCTCAAGGGCAATCCTCAATGAAGTTACAGAAGCCTTCCAAACGCTAGAATGCTTTAACATTTGAGGATACTAACACACTTTGTGAAATTCTTCATGTAAATTATTTGCACAATTCTACTATAAATATTATATTTAGGTAAATGCAAATCTTTTATCATACTACATACAATTATTAAAATAATCCAAGTAAAATACATTACTGAACTCTTGGCAAAAGGCTGACAACATTTTATAAGCCCTATAGAAAAGGTTTGGAAGGTGTCTTGCAAACCTGATCTGCAGGCTTTAAACTGAATCTTGCAAGGGAGGCAAACAAGAGACCGGAAATTAGTGTGAAACATAGTACTGAAAACAAAACTCAGAGAGCTATTTAGAGTATTGAGACACTTTTTGTCAATAATAATACAAAAAGTAAGAGTTTACAAATATTATACAAACTTTTTGAAAAATGAAAGATGAACCCAATGCTAGGAGGCAAATAATCTTGTTTGCAAAAATGGGGAAATTGAGTCAAAGTAATTACAGTTTGGTGAACTGATTTAATATTAGACAAAATATTAAACAGGGTAGCAATTTCTGAACATTAGAAAAGTATGTGTTGTTTGGCAGAAAACAGCAGGAATTAATTTATCAAAAATAAATGATGTCAAGCAAATGTGATACTTTTTGATAGAGTCACTAGTTAACAGTGGGAATGAAACAAGCACTTGGTGACAACTCGAGTGAAACAAAGCAGAAAACAATGTCCAAATGATGACTCTATTAGTATGTCATTAGATAGATGTATAGCCAGTAGAAGAGTGATATTCTTCTTATATCGGTATAAAAATTAAATGAATAAATAAATAAATAAATAAATAAATAAATATTCAACAAGTATGACATCAGTGGTTCTGTAACAAACTTGAGACATGTGCTTGGTTGCACAACAAGGTTTTGTGAGATATCCATTGCTGTTCAACATATTTTAACTGACATTATATATGAAACAGACGGTGGTGAGTAGGAGAAGACAGCATCCCAAGTTTTGATAAGGTATAATAAGTGGGAGAAACTACCCAAATAATTTCAAAATTAAGTGATTATGATGAGAGAAACCTTATGGCAACAGTATAGTGAAAAACTATCCAAATGTCTTATAGATTATAACTGAAACATGATCTAGCTTAAAAAAAGCAAATGCAATCATTGCTATATTGACAGAAACATAAGATCAAAATCAATTAAAAAAATAACTGTTGCTCCTTTTTAGTCAATGTTGGTCAGATCATTCTAAGCATTTTGTACCCATCTTGGAGCTCTGCGTTTAAAAAGTATATTGGGAAATTTGAATATGTATCATTGAATAGAGATCTTGGGTTTGAGAACATCATTTTCAATTTTTCTTCTTCTTATATTGTTGTATAATTTCTTCTTATACTATTTTACATTTATGAGCAGATTGTTCTCTATGATTTTGTTCCCTTGAACAATACCAAATCCAAAAAATAGTGTTGGAGATAGGTGCATGGTTCTGCTCAGTAAAAATTTGATATCTGTAGACTAGCATTTCAAGTCTTATTTATTTATTTGAATCCCAACTTTATTATATTTACAAACAACTCAAGGCAGTGAACCCATTCAACACATTTTCCTCCTATTTTCCCACAACAACAATCTTGTGAAGTGGGTTGGACTGAGACAGAATAACTGCCACAAAATAACCCTGCTGGCTTTTATGGCCAAGATGGGACTTGAACTCATAATCTCCCTCTTTTTACCCTAGTGCCTTAATCACTAGACCACATAGCTTTAGTCTCATATTGTCCTTCATATTTTATTAAGCTGAAATAAGAGTCTTGTCACCTTGATGACTGGAATCAGTAATGAACTGAGATGAAACAGTGCAATAATCTGAAGATAATTCAAACAAAATGGAAAGAATTTTCAGCATGTTCTAGAATAACAGAGTTGGGAGGGACCTTGGAGGTCTTCTAGTCCAACCCCCTGCTTAGGCAGGAAATCCTACACCACTTCAGACAAATGGTTATCCAACATCTTAAAAATTTCCAGTTTTGGAGCATTCACAACTTCTGGAGGCAAATTGTTCCACTGATTAATTATTCTGTCAGAAAATTTCTCCGTAGTTCTAGGTTGGTTCTCTCCTTGATTACTTTCCATCCATTGCTTCTTATCCTTCCTTCAGGTGCTTTGGAAAATAGTTTGACTCCCTCTTCTTTGTGGCAACCCCTAGATATTAGAATACTGCTATCATGTCACCCCTAGTCCTTCTTTTCCTCAGACTAGACATACCCAGTTCCAGCAACCATTTTTTATATGTTTTAGCCTTCAGTCCCCTAATCATCTTTGTTGCTCTCCTCTGCATTCTTTCTAGAGTCTCAACATTTTTTTTTTTTTACATCATGGCAACCAAAATTGGATGCAGTATTCCAAGTGTGGCCTTACCAAGGCATTTTAAAGTGGTATTAACACTTCAAGGGATCTTGATTCTATCCCTCTGTTTATGCAGCCTAGAACAGTTCTGACTTTTTTGGGAGCTGCAGCACACTGCTGGCTCATATTTAAGTGATTGTCCACTAGGACTCCAAGATCTCTCTCACAGTTACTACTATTGAGTGAGGTACCCCCTATACTGTACCTGTGCATTTTGTTTTGCTTGCCTAAATAATAGAACCTTACTTTTTTCACCAATGAATTTCATTTTGTTAGATAGTGTCCAATGTTCATGTCTGTCAAGATCCTTCTGTATCTTAAGCCTATCTTCTGGAGTGTTGGCTATTCCTGTCGCTTGGTGTTGAAATTTGATGACTTCCCCATCTATCCCCTCGTCCAAGTCATTGATGTAGATGTTGAAAATAATTGGGCCTAAAACAGAGCCTTGGGGTACCCCACTGCATACTTCCCTCCATGTTGATGCAGTTCCATTGAGGACTTTACGTTGAGTGTGGTTGATCAGCCACAAATCTATCTGGTGGTGATGTTGTCTAACCCACATTTTTCTATTTTATCAAGTAGTAGGTTATGGTCGACTTTATTTCTAGATTGAGTTTAGCCACCTAAATGATCATGTTCACAGTTATTAGCTATTAATTTTCCTGGATGGAATGGCTTAATTTCTGTAATTAATGCTCTGAATGGAGAATAGGTTATCTTGAAAGTATAACTAGTTCAAAATATGGTTTTCATCTCCTGATTAAGAGTGAAGATACTAACTATTACTTCCTCCCTTCCTCCCCCTATTTTCCAATATGCGGCCTAGAAATAAACACTATGGTATATTATCATTGTAACTATGATTATGTACCATCTATTTCTATTTTGACCTTGCTTATTTTGTACTCATTTTGAACTACTTGTCATATTAGAAGCCATGACAACACTGCAATTTAACTGTCATAATAGTTCTTATATGCCAAAATTATAATAATTCAATTTGTTGCTAAACTTGGTACTTCAGTATAGTACATTTGATTCAATGACTTAAGCTCTTATTTTATTTTATTTATTGGATTCAAGCATATTTAGATATCTTACATCAGGATTATGAAGATCAACTTCAGGTGTTAATATATAATTTTGTACTTTTATTTCATTTTCTTTTCAAATTTTAGAAGGTTGATTAGAGGAAAAGGTCTATGCAGAAAAGTCAGTGGAATTATTATTGATGCTTTTTTGTTGTATTATTTACTTCACTATCCCTTTAACAAGTCATCATGATTGGACATAACAGGTATGAGGTAGTCTGTTCATGGACATTTTTTCCACTTAATTTAAATGTCAAAATCCCTAAACTATCCTGTGTTATAATTATTTCAAAACATTTCTTTATAGATTTTCCAACCTATAAACAGTCTTTAAACAATACAAATTTAGCATTGTCAATTATTTTGGGAACTTGACTGTAAGCACATTGTCATCATAGTTGGCTCCATATTTTCAAATATGTTTCCTGTAGAAGCACTGAAAGTTTGGTTCTAGGATGAATTCAACTCATACTAGGTAGTGAAAATTAATCACAATCTGTATTCCATCTTTGTGTATGTTCCTTCTGGGTTGCTTTTGTCTTTATTATTCTGATTATTTTATTTTACCTTTTATTTCGTTTATTTTATTTTTTGCATCATCAACAGTTCCATAATTCACAAAATTTCTAAGTATATAAATAACTGCACTAGAAGGAATCAGCATCTGAAATGCTGTAAAAAAATAGCAGTCATTGACAGTGAAAATAAACAAAATACTTACATGCCCTCTGAAAGTTTAACAAAATAAGAGACAAATATGTTGTAGAAAGTATTCCTGAAAAAAAAAACCAGCCTGCCTTGTCATGGTTTTGGTGTGTGTGAGCCAAATAGATGCTCTTATGCATTAATAATTGCTCCCAGAACATGTTTAATTGTGGAAAATGCATAATGAAGTGCTTTAATTGCTATTCATTTTATTCACAGTTAAAATATTGCTAATCTGAATAGTTTACACCATTATAAATAGGATTTTGTCCATCTGAAAATAATTTATTTTATTATATTATAAAAGTAATAATTTCAAAGAGCAAATTATAATTGAAACTTTTGGTTACATTTCATGTATTATTAGGATGTGCGTAACATTTTAAACATTTAAAACAGTATTTTGATAAATCTAAGCAATTGACATGTCTTTATTAAACCAATCTATGTAATGTTAAATTAAGGCAAAGCAATAATATGCTTTTATAAATATGTGTTGCAGATGCTCCAATCTTTGTGTCAAATCAAACAATTTATTATTCTTGGGAAGGAAATCCCATCAACATAAGTTGCGATGTTCTGTCTAATCCAGCAGCATCTATCCAGTGGAGAAAAGGAAAATTGGTTTTACCTATAGAAAATACAACTCCTTTAAAGACTCATAGTAGTGAAAACAAATTGATATTAGAGGTAAGCTTCCAGTGATAACTTTGTACTTTCTTTGTTCAAGATATTTTTCCCTCACCATCATAAATATATTAATATTATTTATTAAAAATTCAGGCATATATTTTACCAGTTATCATTTATTTCAGATACTTTTGTATCACATCTATGGGCCCCCATCTCTAGTGAATTCAACCAATTGTAGTAAGGATTAATGATCCTTATTTATTATTTGCAAAGTTGCTGGTCACATGAAAAAATATTATGGATTATACTTAGAGATTATATGTACAGTTATTCAGGTCTGTCAATTTTATATAAAAACTGATGCATGCTTCTCTCTGTCTCTCTGTCCCCCCATCTTTCTGTCTCGCTCTCTGTCCCCCGCTCTCTTTCTCTTTCTCCCTCTCTCTCCTTTCTATAAAGATTGCTCCCACATCAGACATTGACTTTGGACATTACAACTGTACAGCCACAAATAGAATAGGGAAAAGATATCAGGAATATATCCTAGCCTTGGCTGGTAAGTAATTTATTTATATAAAAATAAATGTCTTGGATGATTTAAAAAATTCATTTCTATTCTTTAAGAAATGACACCTATTTTAGTGTACTAAAATAAAAGGAATGTAAAACATGATTTTAAAAGTTTCTTAACAAGGCCAAATATCAAACTAAGTGCAACCTTCCATATTTTGGAGATCATAGCTACAGTATCTGCAAAAGAAGTACTCACTTCTCTCCTTTCCTTTCTTGTCTCTGCACTCTGTTTTCTGTGTCCTTCAAATAAAGAAAATATAATCCACAATCTATAAAATCAACTTTTATATATTTACATACTTTAGTATGCTTCAGAACACTTTAATCTGTTTTATGTTTATGATAAAAATAAATTTAAATCCATACAATAAAACAATTAAAAAGAAATTAGTAAAAATATTTTTTTAAAAACTAATAATTCAGAACTCTAGTTATAGAATTTTTAAAAAAGATAATAAAATTTAAGTGTTTCAGCTCCTTGGGGAATAAATTAACTTTAAAACTTTAAACATTTTTTTTTTAAAAAAACTAGGTTTTTACAGAGGACGCTTGATTCTATGTCACCATCAGACAAACCTATACCAACTGTAGTTGAATCACTTAGATTATCTTAGTAAGAAAGAGTTTATCCAAGTTTATCCAAGACCTACTTTTTTGTCCCAATTGAAGTTCATGAACTCCACAAAAATGCAGGTTCATGTGGACTACTTTGCCATAGGCCTTCTTAGAGGTTACCAATGTGTGTACAAGGTTTAAAGTTAATTTATTCTAGAAAGGAATATAGTTACTATATCAACTAAAATTAATAAAAGGGACTCTTGGCTGTTGACTCAATCTTGATAATCAAAGAAAGATTTGAGTTTATAAGTACCTCCCAACTGAGTGCTTTCTTCTTTGGAGAAATGTAATCCCATTCAGAAAAGGCAGATCTATCATCTCTCTGGCATTATGATACCTAATAGTGAAAACCACCAGAGAATTAGAGAATGGTGGAACATCATTAGTACAACTTTCTGTGACCTACAGGGAAATCAATTAAATCATTGTCAAGATGTGGCTATGCAGAAGCTTCTTAAAAACTTTCCAAATATTTATATTATACTTCCTGTTGTAGTAAAATTGTTTCTCCTTTCTTGAAGAAGGGAATCCTTTTTGCCAATTTCCTGGCATCTCCCAATTTTCCAAGGTTCTTTAAAGATAATTGACAGACTGAAATGGTATTCAGCCATTTCAGTATTTCAATGTACATTTCCTCAGGACCTAATGTTTTGAACACATTCAAATTATCTAGAATTTTTTTTTATCACATTTTTACTGACTTGCACCTTCTCCTGTTCCATTTGTTAACAATCTGATCTATCAAATCACTGCTGCTTCTGGCTGTAAAGACAAAGTCAAAAAAGGAATTGAATTCTTCTGCTTTCTCTTGGTGCTCTGTTAAGATGTTTCCATTTGAAGTAAGCAATGATCTCACTACTTCATTTGTTTTCTTCTTGCTGCTAGTATATTTGAAGAAAATATTGCTGGACTTTGCTTCTCTTGCTCTTCTTAGCTCATTTCCCCACCTTTGCCTTCCTGACCTAATTCCTACATTTCTGAGCTGAAGATTTGTCAACAATCTTGGTAATTAGATTATCCTTCCATTCCAATAAACATTGTCTTTAATCTCAACTCCTTCATGAATCTATTCTGTATATCCACTCAAATTGTATTTTTTGATGTCTTTTTCCCTCATTGATATTGTTGCAGAATGCATTATACTTAACTTTCCTTACAAGAAGGCCAAGCCAACCATAATATCTTTCCTTTAAGAATAAATCCCAAGGGCATATTCCTCACTATTTCTATTCGTTTATTAAAATCAGCCTTTCAAATATTCATGTCTTTGAGTTTTTTAAGTAAACTTTTTGAAATCAAGAACTTTAACTATGCATTCTTATTTATCCTCAAACTTTTATTTGTTGGTAAAGATAAAATCCATGACAGCATACCCCTTAATGGCCACCATTTTAATCCACCTTTTTAAAATATAATTTCAATTTATTATTCTTCATATGGTTATTATGAAATCACACAGGTATTTCAGGGAGCTACACCTGTCACAAAGATAGATATGGGTGTCAGCCTCATGCTGATAGCATTCAACTCCTCAGTTCATGATGATGTCTTCACATAGTTTAATGTAGATATTGAAAACCTGACCCTATAATAATTCCTATTAGTTCTTATTTCAAAGAGCAAGTGCTTCCACATGGTCATATCTGAAACATGAATGGAATTGAATGAAAGGCCCCATGGACTGAAGAAACCAATGATAAACCTTGAGAAAAAAGAGAATGTTGTGGTGGTGGGTGATTCCTTGCTGAGGGAAATCAAGTGGTTGTGAATACACTGATATGACATTGTAGGAGGTGTAATGTCTTCCAGGTGCCCATCTACAGGATGTGACAGGATGTTACCAAGACCAACTAAAGCCACGAACAACCATATGTTTTCTTTTTGATCCATGTGAGAATGAATGCCATGGAAACAGTGAAAAAATATATGGAGACCATGAGACATAGGGCAACAAATGAAGGAGATGGGAACAGTTCCAGTTACAGGAGATGGCAGAAGAAAATATAACATGAATCAACAACTGGCTATTCAGATAGTGTGACCAACAAAAGATTGAATTCTACAACAATGGTCTTAGTTTCAAAAAGAACTCCTGAGAAAAGATGGTTATGTGTTACAGGATACTACAACAAGAGGACCAAGATGATATTCAGAATATCAAATGTTTTTATATAAATGCACAGAATATGAAAAATAAACAAAATAATCAATTATCCTAATTCAGAAAGACAAATTTGACGTGGAAGCATCATTGAAACCTTATGGGATGATGATTAGCACATTACTGGAATACCAGAGCATAGTACTAGTTTACTGAAAAGGAACTGATCTAACAAACAGGCTCAGAATATCTATATTACACATACATGCAGCTACCCATCCACAAAGTCCTATTTGCTCAGAAATTTCAGAATCGATGGGCTGAAAATCTGTTTAAAGTTGTAAAAGGATTCAGAGAAACAAAAGTGAATTTATTGTAAGAGAATACAGTTACAGAGAATTGGACAGTCCAGAATCTGGACAGTCTAGAAATATGAATAAAGCCTTTCTGCTTCAGATTAGTAGTTTTCAAAGAGGTATATAATAGTTACACTGGAGAACATTTATTATTTTGACATCTGTTAAGAGTCAAAGATCCAGAAAGTTCTTATTCTTCTTACTGACAAATTTATTTTCGAGAAGATAAAAGAAAGAACAGGAGATATGCTACCTGGCATCTAAAACTCGCCAACCTGATTCAATCAACCTGATTCAAACATGAAAAAAGTGATCATATTATCTTTTAATCTATGACCTGTCTTTATTCGTGTCAAAAATACTTACAAAGCTAACTGAAGATGCCTTTGGTTTGAAAGGATTTCCTGGTGACAATGCTGTTGCCCTTGGGGTGTTTGATTGTGAAAACGAATGCAGTCTTCGGGGACACTGCTTTCATGTCTCCCTCGTTCTATAATATCAGAAAGCAAGAAGACTCAGGGCTTTATGCTACACTTCAGAGGGATTTTTTGATGAAATTCCAGAAAAGTTGCTTCAGCTTAATAGTTTAAATCCTAATGAAGAAAAATGTCCAGGAGGGATGAGAAATCCTATAAAACAGGATACTTAAATTACAATTACATCACGTGGGAAGAAAAAAAAACCAAAGGAATAAAAAAGGTAGCATGGATATATGCAGAACTCACTAAACTGCTGAAGAGAAAAGGGACATGAAAAAGAAACAGAAGAGGAACATAACCAAAGAGGAATTCAAAATAGATTCCAGAAATTATATAAACTCTGTCAGAAAGGTTAAAATTTAGTGTAAGGTGAAGGGCTTGTGACAGATAAACAATAAAAAATAAAGGGTTCTGTTGGGTATGAAAAGGAAAATAAAGAAGGTGTAGATCTATTGCAGGACAAAAGTGATAAATTGGTAATGGGTGACAGTAAGGAAGAATTTTCTTAACTTTATTATAGACAAAGAGAAGGTAGTTAAGAGATAATAAATTTAAATGAATTCAAGACTCAAATGCCATATAGATTATATTATTTTATTTTATTTTATTAAATTTCTATACTGCCCTTCTCCCGAAGTATTCGGGGTGGTGTACAGCCAGAAATAAAACCATGACAATAGAAAAATTAAAAACGAGTTAAAACAATTAAATCAATTGGCCGAAAATTCTAATAAAACAACCCATTAAAAATAGTAAAAATATTATTATTATTTAGGCCAGCCCTGCTTGTTGGAATAGTAATGTTTTTAGGGCACGGCAAAAGGTACACAGCTCAGTAATCCTACGAATCTCCGGGGGCAGCTCATTCCAGAGTGTAGGGGCCCCCACAGAGAATGCTCTCCCCCTGGGGGTCGTCAGCCGGCATTGTCTAGCTGATGGCACCCGGAGGAGCCTCTCTCTGTGGGAGCGTACCAGTCGATGGGAGGCTATCGGTGGCAGAAGGCGGTCTCGTAGATACCCAGGGCCCATGCCATGGAGTGCTTTAAAGGTGGCAACCAACATCTTGAATCGCACCCGGAAGACCACCGGGAGCCAGGGCAGCTCACGCAGGAGCAGTGTTACATGGGAGCTGTGGGTCGCTCCCATAATTACCCGCGTGGCCACATTCTGGACCAGTTGGAGCCTCCGGGTGCTCTTCAAGGGGAGCCCCATGTAGAGAGTTTTACAATAGTCAAGACGGGAAGTGATGAGGGTGTGAGTGACTGTACGTAAGGAGTCCGATCCAGAAAGGGACGCAACTGGTAAATCAGGCGAACCTGATAAAAAGCCCCCCTGGCCACAGCCATCAGATGGTCTTCTAAGGACAGCTGCGAGTCCAGGAGGACACCCAAGTTGCGAGCCCTATCTGAGGGTGTCAAGATCTCACCCCCAATAGTCAGTGATAGGTTCAACTGACTATGACGTGACACCAGAAACCACAGCCTCTTGGTCTTGAAAAGGTTAAGTCTGAGCTTGTTCCTCCCCATCCAGATCCATACGGCTTCCAGGCACTGGGACATCACTTCAAGGGCATCATTGGGGTGGCCTGGGGTGGAAATGTACAGCTGAGTGTCATCAGCGTACTCGTGGAAATCCACCCCGAAGCCACGGATGATCTCACCCAGCAGGTTCACATAACAGGAGGGTTGAACAGGAGGGGTGAGAGGACCGACCCCTGTGGCACCCCACAGACTAGGCGCCCTGGGGTCGACCTCTGCCTCCCTGCCAACACAGACTGTGTATGGCCGGAGAGGAAGGAGGCGAACCACCACATAACGGTGCCCCCCACTCCTAACTCCTCCAGCCGGCGCAGCATGACACCATGGTCGATGGTATCAAAAGCTGCTGAGAGATCTAACAGGACCAGGACAGAGGAACAGCCCCTGTCCCGAGCCCTCCAGAGATCATCGACCAATGCAACCAAGGCCGTTTACGTGCTATACCCAGGCCTGAAACCCGACTGGAACAGATCCAGATAATCCACTTCATCCAGGTGCTAAGGAAGCTGTCATGACACCACACTCTCAACAACCTTTGCCACAAAACGAAGGTTGGAGACAGGACGATAATTTGATAAAACAGCCAGGTCCAGGGAAGGCTTCTTGAGGAGGGGCCTCACCACCGCCTCTTTCAAAGTGGTGGGAAAGAAACCCTCACTCAAAGAAGCGTTAACAATCCCCTGGAGCCAGCCTCGTGTAACCTCCCAGGAAGCCAGCACCAACCAGGAGGGACACGGGTCTAGCAAACATGTGGTCGCATTCAGCCTACCCAAGACACTGTCCACTTTCTCTGGAGTCATAAATTCAAACTCCTCCCAGCTAACATTCTCAAGACCTACCTCCGTCATCCCATCTGAACCCATCCAGTCGGAGTCCAACCCCTGTCGAATCTGAGCGATTTTGTCATGCAGATATTGCACAATGTCCTCAGCCCTACCCTGCAAGGGGTCTTCCCACGCTCCCGTATGGAGAAGGGAGTGGGTCACCCTAAACAGGGCGGCTGAGCGGTTATCCGCAGACCCAGAGTGGGAAAATAATTAATTTTTGCCGCTTTGAGCGCCACTAGGTAGGTCTTAATATGAGACCTCACCAGTGTTCAGTCAGATTCGGAACGGCTGGCCCTCCAACCGCTCTCCAGGTGTCTTTTCTGGCGCTTCAACTCTCTCAGCTCCTCGGAGAACCAAGGAGCCAATTGAGATCGGCATCGAGTCAGAGACCGCAAAGGCATGACGCGGCCTCTTAGGATGCAAGGGGTTAATTAATTGGACTAATTTAAAGGAATTCAGGATCCCAGATTATTGGAGGAAGTACTAGAGACGATCACAGAACCATCTTTGGGAAATCATGAAGGATTCATGAGATTTCAAAAAACAGGAAGAGAACAAATATCTTCCCATCTTCAAAAAAGAAAATTTGAAGGAGCCAGGAAGCTACAGATTTTTCAGCCTAACATCTATATTGCCTAATGTCATCAAACTGGCTGTGAAAATTTTTTTTGTGAGAACTTGTATAGAACTTGTATAGACATACTATGACTAAAAGAAGGCTCACACATTTGTCATAAACAGATGATGCCAGGCTAAACCTATTTCCTTCTTTGACACATTAGGTGACAGACTGGAAGAATATTATAGATGTGGTATACCTGGACCTCAATAAAGTCTTTGAAAAGTACAACACAATATTTTTCTTCATAAAATATTAAAGTGGACCTAGATGATAACACCATAAGATGGATATGTGGAATGATCTCACTCAAAGCATGCTAGTTAATGTTTTTTTGTTTTTGTTTTTTTAATTTGATTTATATGCCGCCCTTCTCCGGAGACTCAGGGCGGCTTACAATGCGTTAAGCAATAGCCTTCATACTTTTTTTATTTATACAAAGTCAGCTTATTGCCCCCACAAACTGGGTCCTCATTTAACCTACCTTAGAAAGGATGGAAGGCTGAGTCAACCTTGAGCCTGGTAAGATTCGAACCTGCAGTAATTGCAGGCAGCTGTTTTAATAACAGGGTACTTCAGACCACTGTATTACCAAGGCTACTTGGTTCCACTTCATCTTGGAGAAAAGTACTAAATCTGTAGGTCTCTGCCATAAGCTCCATGCAACAGTTCCTTTTGTTTGTTTGTTTGATCAATGACTTGGATAGGCAATTGAGGGGACTCTTCTAAAGTTTGCACATGACATAAATTTGGAGGGGTGACTAATATTTTAAATAAAAGACCTAAGTCCCTATTTTATTTGAGAATAGGTTTAAGAAAGGAAGTTTAAGAGAAAAAAAAATAAAAGTTACATGGTATATTTCGATCAAGGTAGTAACAATATATGGCAGGGGCATTGAACTTGCATTGTCACATCAGCGTCACATGACGTGTCAGGACTTTTTCCCCCTTCGCTAAACCTGGCAGGGGCAGGGACAGCACATGATGCATTTGGCCTGCAGACTGTGAGTTTGACACCTTTGATATATGGCAAACACGTAGAATATGAGATAATGTGCTTGACAGTAGTACATGTAAAAGGGAACTATATGTCCCTGTTGACCACAAATTAAAGATGAATTAGCTATATAAATTGGAGCAAGTTAAGAGATGGATTATTAAAATGATGAAGTGTACAAGGAAATGCTACAGTATCTAGTCAAATATGGCATAGGTAATATATGATTGCCTCTTCAAATACTGAAGAGTTGTCATACAGTTGTCTGTAGAATGGACATATATTTTACTGCATTATGGATCAAGTCCAGAACCAATGGGTTGAAATGACATGTTAGATGTGAGGAACACTACAAGTTGTCAATAGTTGAACAATGAAGCAGTGAGTGGTTCTTCCAGGGTCTTCAGAGGTTTATTGGTTATCTTGCAGACATGGCTTAATTGAGCCCTCACTCTGATTGAGAAAAGTTCATTATTTTTAATAGTTGCATTATTTCAAGACTGTATTGTTTTAATAACAGTTCTATAAAATAAAAATAAGTGTATCATTATTTTAATAATAATAATTTGCATACTCTTTTATTTGGTATTGGTAGTATATTTGACCTCCTCCTACTGTAGAGGTTCACTGATTATACTTCAGAATTAGTAATCAGTTAAGAGCTGATTTAACTTCTAATCTTCTAATACTAGAGATTCTTGTAAGTAGGGTATATCTTCTAAGGCTTCTTGGATGTTGACATCTACTATATAGTATTTCTGTATATTCCTCCATCTTTATTTGATCTCTTTCAATAAATTACCATCTATCTGATGGAGTTCTTTAGCATATTAATTCAAGTTTAGAACCTCCTTTTGAGTTCAGAGATGTTTTGGAAGATTTCCATTGTTTTCCCATGTCTGTTTCATCTTCCAAAATTTCAAAAAATCCTAAAACATTCTATGACAATAAAAATGAGTTTAGTATACTCTGATTTTCAAAGTATACTAAAAAATACCAAATTAAATATAGTTTTAGTGTTTTATTGTAATTTTTTTTCCTGTAAATCTTTTATAGTGTAAACTTCTATGATTTTAATCTTATTTACTTGACTTTTTAAATGTAATTTAAAGGACCAAAATGAATGAATTTGCTGCAACACTTACCTAGGAAAAATTAAATAAAATGTAAAAAAAAACCTTTAAATTTAGAAGAGTTTGCATTAATAAAAAGTAAATGTATGCATTTTATTTATTTAAATGGTAACATAAAGTTGAACCTAGATATATAAATCTTAGCATACAGTTTTGCATTAAACTTCTATCCAAAGGATTTTAGCCTCAAAAAAAGCTAACTTTCCTACAGACCCGATTTTCAACTGTTCAATGTACTGATCAGTTTTGCTTATTTAATACTGTTAATATTTTCACCATGTAATAAAATAACTTACTCTTTATTGTTTCATGTATTGACTAATTTTATCATATGTTCCTTAATATTTCCCCAGATGTACCATCCAGTCCACATGGAGTGAAAATTGTAGATGTATCACAGACTTTTGCTAAAGTATCTTTTAATAAACCAGATTCTCATGGAGGGGTCCCGATTCATCATTACCAAGTGGATGTAAAAGAAGTCACTTCAGAAACATGGAAAGTTGTTCTTTCACATGCAGTTCAGAGTAAGTATATAATAAGAAAAAAAAAGGATGACTCTTAAAATAATTAGTCAGTTTCAATACATTTATATATTTTAGGAACAATTAGTTTTTTTTCCTGGAATGTCATTTTCAAATTCTTTTCAACAGGAGGAAGACTATAACTCTACTTTCCATTTTTCCTTTTAAGGTCAAAAACAAAGTATCCCTTCAGATCCTAGATGTTCCTTCTATAGTGTCATTAATAAAAAGATATTTTAAAATTACAAACATTTCCATGCTATGTGTGAACACTCTTCATTATTACATACACTATACATACATTATTTCATTCAGCTCCTAGAAATAATTAGACAGACTCTGTTTCAAGAAATGTTATCGGATATGTGCAAAATGACTTTGCAAAAAAAAAAAAAAAGGTGAATATATATTCCATCTCATGTAATGCAGAATTTAAAAATGTATGTTGGAATATTGACTGGGCTTTCTTTTTTTGTACTTATTTGCAGTGGTACTAAATCAAGTGAAGACAAGTGGTTTTTTGTCCTGTATAAACGAATATAATAATATTAAAAAGGGAATCTGACAAAGTACCCAATTTATGATGTAGATAAAAAGTCTCCCAATCCTATTCCAATATTTTAACCAATGCATGCCTCCATTTAGAATACCTGTCATTTAAAATATTGATTTTCCAGCGTTGTATTACTCATAAGGATTTAGCACAAGTAGAGAAAGCTCCCCATTTCAAAACATCCTCAGACTTGTGAAAAACAATTAGGATCTTCATTCATTGATTAAATGATCTTATATATCATCAAATTTACTGACTCCCTGAAGCTTATATCAATAAGACAACCATAAACAACTATATATATATATACGAAAATAACACAAAATCAATGATAAGTAGGGCAAAGGAATAAAGACCAACCACAATAAACCAGTTACCAAATAAACAACAGTCCATTAAAGGTCTCTCAAAATAGTTCAGTCTTAATGGCATTCTGGAAGGTGCCAGTCTAATTTCTGAGGCTACAATATTTTAAAAAATGCCTAAAATTCTATACTTCATACAATGTCTGGATGTGAGAAAGAGGATAAACTTCACAGAACTTTGCCCTGAAAGATCGGTATGATAACTACCATGTCAATTACATATAGAAATATGCAGTGTTTAAAAAAATGAGCTTGAGAAAGTTGATTCAAGAAATATTTGGAATTTCTAAGATTTTAACATTTTATATTTGTAAAATGGACAAATTAATATAAATTGATAATAGTAATATTTTGTACCATTTTTTCATATTTCATCCATTGAAGCAGTATCCAAAGATTGAAATTTGATGCCCAAGCTTATAGAGATAAAATGATTTTTATGATTCTATGTGTCTAATCAAATTGAGCAGTGTATTACAATAAGTGTAATAAATGAGAGTGAAATCATTAATTTCCAGTTTGATAGCAGAGACATGATACAGTTTCTAAAAGCTACATCATTCCCACACACGCAGTCAAAAGTATGATTCTGGTATGTAAACAGTACCTTTATCATAGCAAAGTAATAACTCAAGAAGACCAATGAAACAATGAAATATTTGAAGGTGTAAAATGCACAAGAAGAAAACAACAGCAAACTTCCTCTTCCTGGATATCCTCAACAGTAGAGGAAACAATGGCAACCACAAACCCAAGACTATTGGAAAGCAATCCATGCTAACCAAGTGCTCCACTTCCAAGCTAACTATTTATCCCCCCAGAAAAGGACATATGTAAGAATGCTATTCAGATGAGCACAAGCACTCTGGAACAACAGAAATAGGAAACAGATCACTTATACAACATCTTACAACATAATGTTGTAAACTTGTACTTTATCAAAAAATGCTTGACTACACAACCCACTACAGTGCAACCAATGCAATCTGTAAAAAGGATTACACTCTTATACATCAAAAATATCTTAGAAATGACCAACAGATTGCTATAATCATGTAGGATCACACTGTAGCATACAAACTAACTAAAGCCCTCCAAAACATTTTAAACAAATTAAAAGACTCAGTAGCCCAAGGGGTGGGGGTGGGGACCAGGAGTCATCTGTAACTTGCAGTGCAAGGATTGGAACAGCGCTATGTAGGACTGATAGACAGAAGACTATCATAACACATCCAGGAACCCCACTTAGCTATTAGAAGAATGACAAAAAATCCTTAATCTCACACTACTTGAACAGACTCAACTACAGTTTCAATTGGAAAAGTATTAGCATTTTAGACCAAGCCAAAATCAAAAATTCTAGGAAATTCCTGAACGCTTGGCATTCAGACAAGTTCTTTAGATTTTCAAATTATAACTGGGGAATGCCAAAATTCTTTCTCTTAGTCTTCAGCTATTCAATTGCATTTCAACACTTTTCCTAACCTTAGATGGCAGGGTACCATTCACTATAAAATTAAAGAGATTATAGTTGTCTGGTTGATTATTTTTTTGACAGATAATACTGTTATGCTCCTGACTGACACATTTTCAGACATGTTAGAAGATGAGCAGATTCACTAGAAGTTCAGAGCTACAATAGCCCTGATGCAGCAGCAGCAGCTCCCTTAGCATTGGGATGGCCCACTGGACAGTGTTAAAGTCATAATTAAGAACTACTACTCTAGATGGTACTGAAAAATAAACATGGTCTTTGTTTAGAAACCTTTTTTTTCATTTTTAATCAATTAAATGCACATTTTGAATATCTTCTACTCAGTAATAACTAACAGCATTTTTACTGACTAATATTGTAAATGAATAATTTTTGTTTTGAAATTCAGCAGTATTTTCAGAAGTTGTTATTCATTGCTTATTATTGTATATTTTTATCTTTGGAAGAATATTGATAACTTTTTGACCACTAGGTAAAAATTGTGAACAGTTATCCCCCCTTCTCTTTTAATATGGTGATTTCCAGAAAAATAGCTCTTAGACATCCATAATTTTTGTGATTAATATCTGTAAAAATGGCATGTCTTTTGAGTTGTTCCTGTTTACAAATCTGCATTCTTATTTTTATAAATATCTGCTTTTGTAATCTCACTATCAGAGGAGTTGTTTCTTCCTTTTTCCCAAAGTGGTTATTTATTTGTTGTTATTTTGACAGAAATAGAATATAAATTATACATGACTTTACGTAAGACACATGAAATATTTTAGTAGAATATGTGCAGCTGCAAGCACATTACAAAACATAAATATCAGTTGTTCTTATTCCAGTCAGGTGCCAATAGAATTATAGAAAAATATAGTATGTCCCGGATTGATGGTAGATGTAAACAGTGGCAGAGGTAAATTTATGCTATATTTCCAGTCAAATTTTCCAATACTATGTTCTCCCAGGTCCCACAATTATTACTTTTTTAAAAAAGATTTTCTTGGACAGAGAAATGGAAATAAATATTGATCTAAGTTTAGAACAATACTGTGATATTTTTTTCAGCATCTCTTTCTCAAAGTATAATGTTAGATAAACTTAATGAGTCTTCAGTGTGATAAGCAGATTGTTATACAAGCTTAACTACTTTCTATATTTCTTTTCTTTTACCACCCAGTTTACTCTCTTGGGGGGCAAACCATTTGTAAACCTATGAGCATACCTGAGAGTGGGAGCTGAACCTCAGCAAAAGCAGTGAAGAAATAAATCATTGAATGAAATGCATGATAGGGATAAGGGAAGCCTAGCACCTAATGAACTGCATCTTATGCAGCATCTCAAATCCTGTGCTACATCCATCCTACTAGGATGAGAGTCAGAGAGCAAGAGCTCCATGTCTATGTATCTGCAGACAAATACAGAATGAAGACCCCGAGTTTATCAATCTCATAGACAAAGATTAGGCAGAGTAAATGAGGAGCAGAGTAAATTACTATCTATACCTCTTTATCCCTTCTCAATATTTTAACAGCCATGAAATAGTCACTCATTTCAAACCAAGCATATTAATTCACCCATAGTTTCTTCTTAATGTAGTTATAAATAGCACAGCCATATTTACCTAGGTATTGAATACGTCTGGAGTAATACCAAGGTATTATGCATTTCCTGTCACTTATATGTGCATTAACTAAGGAACTGGATAACAGTATGTTTGCACTTTATATTTGTTAAATAGCTTGTAGTTACAACTGGATGCATTATTTACACCTTCTTGTGCACACAACATATCTTATGAACGACTATTTTTTTCTTCCAAATAAAAAAGAATGTATTGAGTCTCGATGTTAACCTTGTGAAATAAATGAAGCAGAACCGTTACAACCAAATGTGTCCCTTTTCACATAAAATATTCTTTTTTTTAAATAAAGCTTTTCTTCATTTTCTCTTAGCTATGGTTATTCTCAGCAATCTGGAACCAAATACAACATATGAAATAAAAGTTGCTGCTGTAAATGGAAAAGGGCAAGGAGAATATAGTAAAATTGAGATATTTCAGACTTTACCAGTTCGTAAGTAATTTATTATTATTTGCCCTGTGGGTAAAATAAGGTACTTTAAGTCACATTGATTAAAATAAAATTATTGGTGTTCATTTTTAGATTTCATATGGCATGTACCTTTATGCATCACAAGTAAAATTTGACACAACTTAATGATACTCCTGAATTTGTTTATGACTGTCTGATAATTCAGCATAAATAGGATACATGAAGTAACTGAATTGTCGCTGTTCTGAAAGTAATTCTGAATTTCACAATTCAGTTCCAAATATTGATGCTAATTTTTTTTTAAAAAAAATTGACTGTAGAAATTACAAGATTGAATAGACTACTGCTTTAATTATATAGGAATCAATTGAATCTGAGTGAAGTATTTATTTAAATTATATTGCTATATGGTAGTTTCTTAAAACACTTTATATGTACTTCAATTATTAATATATATGTGCATGCATACAAACAGAGACATAGACACACACACATGCAGAGTAAAATTTCTGAACAATAGATTTTATTTTAAAAAATAGATTATTTGCCAAAACAAGGATCCAATCCTTTTTCCCATATTAAATTAAATTTATGGAGAAATCATAACTGACAATATTTACAGCTACAATATGTATTACCCACATTATTTTCAGCTCCTGAGACATCCAAGATACTGGATTAACATGCTAAACTTTAAAAAAAAAAACCTATTAGATTTTTCCTATCAATACATTTGCTATGTAGATGTTAAGAGTTGATGGAATAAAGAATTAAAGGCTCCTATATTGGTTAAACAATAGTAGAGTGATTTTACTTTTATAGAAGGAATGTTTGATTATGATTCATAGAATATCACAAAAATAATATTCAGATTTTTTTACACTTCATGACATCTGTAATGTATAGATTCTAATCTGTATAAGTAAAGATTGTCTAGGATTTTATTGAAGGTGTAATAAGGACAATGCTTCTTTGAAACACATGTGTGTACAATATCTTAAATTTACTACCTATTGGGAGAAAGTAGTGGACTAAATAAATGTGATTGTTCAATAAAAATTAAAATTTTCAGAGGATAATATTATTTTGAATTACACAACAAGTAGATGGAATTTAACATCTGCACAACATAAATGGATTCTCCATGCCCTTATTATAGCTAAGAGACTGATATTGCAACATTGGAAAGATATATATGGCCACATTTACTCAATGGATTAAATACCTGAGTACACTTGCTGTGTAATTGTGATTGGATTGCCTATACCAGGGGTGTCAAAATCGATTTCATCAGGGTTGTGTTTGACCTTAGGGGGCTGGGTGGGTGTAGCCATGGTGGCCAGCTTGATGCTACTCATGTTTGGGGTGTGTTGTATGCACCCGCCCCCTCCTGTATTTCCCGCCGGTTCCTGTTCCGTCAGAGGTTACAGAAGGAGGGAGAGTCCATTAACTAATACCTTGCTGCCTTCCGCGCTGAAGCTATTAATTGTGAATTCGAGAATCTTGATGACTCTCTCCTCAAGCAGTTGGTCTGCGGTGTGCGTGACTTGCGGCTACAATGCCACCTATTAGCCAAGACTGACATCAATTTGCAGTCAGCTGTAGACGAAGCTTGTGCTTTTGAAATGTCAGACAGGTTGGCGGCTGAGATACGCAGAGTTCCTAACATGCTGTCTGCCACCCATTGTGCCGCCATTCACCTCGAGGATGCTTTCCCTGACAGCCCTTCCGATGACGAAGATGAGGTGAGCCGCCTCAAAGTGGCTGTGAGTAACAAGAGGCCAGAGGGCATGAAGCAGACCACGACTCATTGCCTGGGCTGCGGGGAGGATCACCCTCGCGCCTTTTGCCGTTTTAAAAATGCTGTATGCCACCGGTGCGGAAAGAAAGGCTATCTGGCCAAAGTCTACCTTTCTGTTCCCCTAGAAGCTACCACGGGCGCTCCGGCTAATGTCAGACCTATCAGAAAGGGATTCAACACTCGAAAGGACTATTGTTTTGCCATATCCCGGGGCGGAACAAACACCACCGTGTCTGTCAGCCATGCTTCTTCCGGCCCTCACAAGAAAATCGTCCTGACTGTCCGACTTGAGGGAATGCCGTGCAGAATGGAAGTGGACACCGGTTCCTCCAAGTCTATCATCGCCTGGAAGACACTGAAGAAGCTGGTGCCTGCCATCATGCCTGGGCGACTGCGAGCCTGCAACACCAGGCTCCATGACTATCAGGGAAATAGTATTCCCATCTTAGGGTGTGGCCACTTCTTAGTGGAAAAAAGGGGATTTCTCAGGGTCACTCCCAGTTATTGTTGTTAAGGGTAGCCTTCCCAGTTTGTTAGGGTTAGACTGGTTTGAGGCATTGGGGCTCACCATCTCTGGTGTCAATGCCACCGTCATTGATGACTTCGAGGCCCTAACCTCCGAGTTCACCGAGGTTTTCGATGGCTTCTTGGGTAACTATAAGGGTACCCCTATCTCCCTTAACCTTGACCCTCAGGTGGCACCCATTCGACTCAAGCCCAGAAGGGTGCCCTTTGCCCTCTGCCCCAAGGTGGATGCGGAATTGGACAAGCTATTGGCCCAGGGGATCCTCGAGCCCACTGATTATTCCAAATGGGAGACCCCCATTGTCATCCCTACCAAGCAGGACGGGTCTATCCGCATATGTGGTGACTTTAAGTGCACACTCAATCACGCTTTGCAGGCACACCCTTATCCAGTCCCTGTAGTCCAACATTTACTACATTCTTTGGGTCGGGGTACGATCTTTGCCAAGTTAGACATGACTCAGGCATATCAACAACTCCCTGTTGATGATGCCAAGGCCACCGCTCAAACCATAGTCACCCATAGGGGCGCTTTCAAGTGTTTGGGGTCTGTGTCGCACCTGGCATTTTTCAAAGCCTTATGGAGTGATTATTGCAGGGAATTCCCGGTGTCATCCCTTATTTCGATGACATTTTAATTTCAGATACCAACAAATCCAACCTCATCGAACGCATCCGCCAGGTACTGATCAGATTCCAACAAAATGGCCTGAAACTCAAGAAGACCAAATGTAAATTCGGAGTGCCACAGGTTGAATTCTTAGAGTTCCCTGTGGATGGGTCTGGCATACACCCTACTCCTTCTAAGGTTGAAGCTATTAAGAAGGCCCCGCCTCCCACCTGCAAGGCTGAGTTACAGGCTTTCTTAGGCCTGCTCAATTTTTACAGCATTTTTCTTCCACATAAGGCCTCTGTGGCAGAACCGCTCCATCGCTTGTTGGACAGCAAGGCTCCCTGGGTTTGGGGACAACCCCAGGCCACAGCATTCATGGCTGTAAAAAACCTGCTCACTTCAAATGCCGTGCTAATGCACTACAGCGACCACATTCCCCTCACTCTAGTTTGCGATGCCTCTCCGTATGGCATCGGTGCTGTGTTAAGCCACGTCTTACCGAATGGAGCTGAGGCTCCCATTGCCTATTATTCCAGGACCTTGTCCTCGGCTGAAAGGAATTATGGTCAACTGGATAAAGAGGCGCTGGCACTCATGGCCGCGGTAAAGCGATTCCACAATTACGTCTATGGTCGTTTTTTTCAATTAGTTACTGACCACAAGCCCCTCTTGGGCCTATTGGCAGGCGATAAACAGACTCCACAAATTATGTCCCACCAAATGACCCGGTGGTCAGTTTTCCTGGCAGCCTACAATTACCAGCTGGTCTATTACCCAGGGGCTAATCTGGGGAATGCGGACGGCCTCAGCCGCTGTCCCCTTCCCATAGCTGTGGATGACCCTGCCCCGATCACTCTGTCCTTTTGATCGATGAGTTCCCTGCATTAGTAACGGCATCAGACGTTGCGAAGCACTCAGCTAAAGACCCCACTCTTGTGCAGGTTCTGGATTGGGTACGCCGAGGGTGGCCGCAGGGCTCAGTGCCAGGGGAATTTAGACCTTTTGCCACCCGTCAACACGAACTTTCCATCTCCCAGGGATGTTTACTATGGAGCATCAGAGTGGTAATTCCCCCCACCCTACGTAGGCCCATTTTGAAATGTTTGCACGAGAGCCATCCGGGAACCAATAGGATGAAAGCTTTGGGTCACAGTTATGTTTGGTGGCCAAACTGGACCAGGCCATTTCCGAATGGGTAGCAGGGTGCCAGTGGTGCCAGCAGTCCCGACCCGTGCCCCCTGCAGCTACTGCTCGGGAGTGGGAAACACCACGGTGCCCTTGGTCCAGGCTACACATAGACCTGGCAAGACCTTTCCAGGGACAGACCTTGCTGATCGTGGTTGATGCGTATTCCAAGTGGGTAGAAATAGCTCGCATGGCATCAACCACTTCGGACGCTGTTAGTAGGGTTCTCAGCAATTTGTTTGCCACCCACGGCCTCCCCGATGTAGTGGTCTCGGACAACGGGCCCCAATTCACCTCGGCCACGTTTCAATTGTTCCTTGCGGGGTTGGGCATCCGCCATGCTGTGGTGGCACCTTATCATCCGTCCAGTAATGGCCGGGCTGAAAGGGCTGTCCACTCGGCCAAGGACGCTCTAGTCCGGTTCGGTCCGGGAGACTGGCAGGAAAAGGTTGCACAGTATCTCCTTGCACAGCACTCAACTCCTTGCCCGATGACTAATCGCAGCCCCACTGAACTCCTTATGGGCAGGCGCTTACGGACCACCCTGGACAGGCTACACCCGTGCTACACGCCCAAGGCCCCCATAGATTCATCTAACCTTCCCCGGTCGTTCGGGTTAGGAGATTGCGTGTATGCCAGGAACTTTGGGGGCGACTCTCCTTGGCTGCCCAGACATATCATTCTAATCACTGGGCCCTGTTCTTATAGGGTCAAGCTCGAAGATGGACGAGCCTGGCGGTGCCACATAGATCAATTACGGGGTTGCGCCACCACTCAGACCCCAGGAGACGCGGAACCAGCCAAGGACCATTCACCGGAGTCGATCCCGACCCCGCCTCTATGGGGCGATAGGGTCCAGGATGCATCACCAACACCAGCGCCACGGCCATCCTACTTACCTGTTGAACCGTTTACTCTTCTGATTACTGATCCTCCTGATGCCGTGTCTGCACAGTCGCCGACAGTTCCAATGCCCCCTGGGCCAACTCACCCATCCAAGTTGACCCTAGAAAATCTGGAGCTAACTCTTTCCCAGGACAGCGAACTTCATCGGTCAAGGCGAGTGCGCAGGCGTCCAGCTTATCTTAAGGATTACGCTTGTGCCGTCCAAGGGGGAAGGAGTGTTACAGACGTGAGGCTTTGCTACACAGCAACACGGAAGCGCTCCCAATTGGCTGAGACTTGACAGCTCAGCCGGCGGGAGAATTAAGTCATTGCCATTGGCTGCTGCTTCTGACTGCCGTATATAAATAGCAGCTGTGACTGAGAGTTCTTGTTCTTGTTCGTCTAGTTCATTCCTGTTTGAGAGATGTTAATAAACTGTTCCTGTTAACAATTGCCTCAGTCTCCCAGCCTGTTCTTTCAAACTAGAGCAGGGTGCCTATGGTGGCCCAAGGACTCTGCCAGTGAAAATGGGTTCCTGGCCTCTTGAAACCCTCTGCCAGTGAAAACAGAGCTCAGGAGGGTTGCCCGTGGCTCTCCCAATCTCGTGTTTACTGGCAGAGGCACCACAGGCCGTCCCTGTGCTGTTTCCAGGGCAACCCCACGGGCCAGATCTAAGCACCTCGCAGGCTGGATTCAGCCCCCAGGCCTTGTGTTTGACACCCCTGGCCTATCTTGTAGATGTAGGCTTTGTATGGATAAACATAATGAAATTTATATTGAAAAATACTACAATGAAATAATGAGTAATTTATGCAAAATACAGTAAGTTAAAAAAACATAGTAGCTATATAAACACATTCTTTGATAATGTTTATATTAAACAATTTTATATAGAATTGTAACTATTTACTGCTGTAGGAACATGTTATATTCTATTTTTTCTTCTCTTGCATTTTTCACTTATTTTAAGTACCTATTATGAAGTTTTGATAATGTATGTATCTCTATGTTTTGTCTCTCTTGTTGATTTATTTCTTTTCCTGTTTTTTTTTTTTAAATAAAAATGTGTAAATAAGAAATAGGCTCTTTCCCTATTAACACATCTTTAATCACATTTTATGATAAGAGAGACAGAAATTCAGTTAGGTCAGATAGTCTGTTTTATTAAAGTGAATTTATTGTAGCTTCCAAATATTTTCAAGGATAGATTTATATAGAACACATTGCAGTAACCCAACTAAGATAATCAAGATACGAGTGACTGCACTGAGGGCCTCATAATCCAGGAAAGGGTACAACTGATGCACAATTTAAAGTTGTGAAAAGGCTCTCCTAGCCACAACTACCTTTGTATAGTCAGCTTAATATAACCTTTGCTCTGTGAGGATATGACTCATTTTTTCAAAAGCAAGTGCAATTGTAAAGGCAGGATTTCTGCTTATATCATCAGCATTTATAGATTCTCTCTTATAATATAAATTCCAAATTTCAGGTCATTATGTTTTGAACATTAACTTTCTATCTTTTATTAAGGTAGTTGTGAAATATTGATACAAAATATAAATTCAAGTTTTTAAGGGAGCAGTAAATTGATCAAAATTTCAACATTATATTAAAGAAAACATGGACAACTTAATAGACTGTTGTATCGTAATAGTATTCTTTTCTTATTGCAGGATTATGACACAATAGAAATTATGTTTTTCATAAAGAAATTCTTGGGCGTGATTTATTCAACTCTTTCCTCTGTTCGCTCATAGATACATCAGCAATAACATCTACAATTAAAGATAAAATTTGGTATCACTAGTGCATTGATCTGCAGTGAATGTTTTTTCCCCACATACTCAATAGACACTCATTCTATGCAGGAGCACACAATTCTGTTAATAGTTTTGTTGTTGTTCTTTTATTTTTTTCATTTTTTCCCCAATTTTTCTTCTATTTCTGTCACTTTCAAAGTACAGAGTTCATATTTTTTATACTTCTGTTACTTTCCTCCTGCAGTATGTACTATCTGCTGTGAAGAAAATTATTTACCTTTCTATCAATCTATCAATTGATGGATCAATCGATTGATCATTTTTACCAGCACTGTTGTTAATGAAATGGATTGTGGCTAAGAAACTATATTTTTAACATGGTGTGTTCTGAATATATTTGTATATTAGGGAATTATTTCAATATTACCAAATAAATATTATTTAAGGCCAGTCCTAAAGGAAACTATGAACAACTCCATTCTCTAAATAATGTCTATAAATGCATATCTTATTTTGATTTTTAGGTGAACCAAGTCCTCCCTCAATTCATGGACAACCAGGTAGTGGGAAAAGCTTTAAACTTAGCATAACAAAACAAGATGATGGAGGAGCACCTATTTTAGAATATATTGTAAAATATAGAAGTGTAAGTATTATATTAATATTAATAAATAAATAAATAACATGTCTTGATGCTCTCTAGCTATGTTTGTAGAACTACATTAATAGAAGGAAACACTTTTAGGGAGTATACACAATTATCATAACCAGAGATGGCATTTTAGTTAAAAAAGTGCTTAATAAAGACATGGGCGAATGGCCGTGGAGCTGGGCAGAGAGCCAACAAACGTTAACTTTTCTAGACCTTTTGTTTTTTTCTGACAAGGAAATACAGTACAATGAAAGGAAGTACGGTATGTCCAGATGAAATCTAAATATCTACAAATTTATCTTAATGAAAAGATCTGGACACAACACATATCTCCCAGAAGTGAGACATATGGAGCCTTTCATTAGGTAGAATTTCATTTTTGCTTATAAAAAACTGGCATTGAACTTTCAATTTGACTAGTGATCAGTTTAGCAGAACATTCATTAGAAAGTTATAACAATTCTAAAATTTGAAAAAGTTGTAGCCTTGTTTGTAACCCAAAGCAATAATCAGATTCAGCCCTTCTGTGGTTTTTACATCCAAAATTGGTAAGCGCCTATTACTCAGTTGATTTAGCCATGTCTTCCAACTCTATTCATTTTAATTCATGACTCATGAACAAAGATAGAGGAATTTTAGAGTATTGGCAATATCACATTCATTTTCTGTTCTGTTAACACTATACTGCTGGGTGATTCCACTCCAAAAGGAATTATTTTTCTTTAGGAACCCAGTGCCTTCCTATTAATAATTTAGATATTGAACTATAATAGTTAAGTTATTTGTATTACTTAGATAAGGATTTTAGGGCTTTGTTTTCCTCTAAAAATATAGTCTAGTTAAATCTGGTGAATTTTCCTCAGACTTACTCATCTGTCCATAGATATTGCCCAAATATTATGGAGTCTAATATTTTCAAATTTTTCTATGAAGATTTGAATAGCAGAGAATAGCAAATTCTAGAGAATTTGAATTAAATGTTAGGCTGCTGTTTTTAATATTAATATTAATAATATTTAATAAATAAGAAGATATTGCCTGACAGTGAGAATGATTAATCAGTGGAACAGCTTGCCTCAGTGAGTAGCAGATGCTCCATTTTAGAAGTTTACAAGAAAAGTGTGGACAACTATTCATCAGGTTGATATAGGGACTCCTAATTTGCGTAGGGGTTGGATTAGAAGGCCTCCAAGGTCTCTTCCAGCCCTGTGCTTCTATATCCTTTGGAGTTATCTGAAAAAAAATTCTTTTACATTCATTCCCACTTCAAAGAGTAGAATGGTATGGCCTTACTCAGTCTTGTAATCCATAATATCATTACTTGGAATATAAATTGATTACATTTGTCAACATATTGGTCAGGTTACTTATATTTACAGCCATTTTCTTAGTGGCCATAACTTTGGTCAAGAGTATTAAAGACTAAAAATCCTTTTCCAAAATCCTAATTATATATAGGGTGGGACTCAGTCCTATTAATATCAGCAGCAATTTAGAGACAATCTGAAACAGTCGATTTTATTAGCAAGATCAGAACTGCTGATGTTCTCCTCAGATGAATTCATTCTTTACAGAGTCCTTCGTGCTGCAGTGGTTTTTGAAGAGGTGACATAAAGAATATTTTAACCTTTTTCTAGAGCAAAATAGTTCCCATTAGTGGTCCAGACTAAGAAATAAACACAGAAAAGTTAAAGTTATGTTTTATTGAGATTAGCCATTGTAATATTGAATCTTGAAAGTCTTGATTGCTTACTTCTTCCGCCTTTTCATAGCTTAATTTCAGAAGTGTTTCTCTGAGATGCTTCTTAATGTTATCTCACACTTAATTTACATTTTTTTTCAGATCCTTCTGTCTGGACAATGGTTCCTACATATCTCCATAAAAAATCATTTTCCTCATTCTGTATAGGCCACCAGAATTGGATTGCAAAAATCCAACTATCCATTAGATGGCAATACGTTTTATGTTTCTCTTTGATGCCAACTAGTAACATTTATGGTTGAAGTTGTGTCAAAAGGGTGGGAATGGAGCATGGTCATGCAAAAATATTGATCTAGTGACTGGTAGAAAAAAGACAATCGGGGTGAGTTCAATCCAGACTTTATAAAGAAAGGGTCCTAATTTGTAGAAATTCCAGCTCAGAAGCTGCCTCTGGCAATCAACCAATTTTTAGTGTTTTCTCCTGTATTTGGCTGATCATAACAGGATATAACAGCATGATGGACAAAAAATAAAACTGGGAAAAAAAGACCAAAACATACCTAATCAACAAATATAATCTAGAGACAAGGAAGATCAAGAAAACACTGGAAATTATAAAGAAGTAAAATCAGCAGACATGAAGCTTGAATTGCACACTAAAGGCAGATTCTCCAATTTCAGTGACATGTCACTCCCATCAACAGAAACTTCAATGAACCAGCCAACATCTGACAAAGAAGAAACTGTGGGACAATTCAAAGAAATAAGGAAGAATGCAGCTTGGATAATGAACATGGAGAAGGAATAAAAAACTGAAATGAAAGAACTTGCAACAACAGCAGAAACGATAGAAAAAAGGGCAAGAATATCTGAGAGACAGGAGGAAGATACACTGATACCATGAAAGCTTACTGAATTCCAAAGAGACCAAACTGTCCTTTTTAGGTCAGTTTGCCAAATTTAGCATGGAAAAGAGACCTGGCAAAGCAAAGTGCTACATGGCCAGTACACTAAAAATCTAGCAAGCAAAGCCTATAACCACAAGGCCTGGAAATGAATAAGAGCAGGAAAGTTGAAGAAAGAGACTAAGGGGATGCACAAGACCAAGTTTTTAGAACAAAGGCATACTAAGATAAAAATGACAAGACAGCAAATACCATCTCTGCAAAAAGCTGATTAAATAATGGGCCATCTAGTTACCTGCTGAAAGAAGATTGTACAGCAACAGCATGACAAATTAGCAAGAATGGTACTTTGGAATATCAGCGAGAAATACCACTTGCCTGCAGGCAAAAGCTGGTAAGCCCACAAAATAGACAAAGGAATAGAATATGAAGAAGCTAAAGTGCTCTAGGACTTTAGAATTCAAGCAGACAATAATCTGCCACACATATCTCTAATTTAACAATTGTTAATATGAAGACAAAAAATAGTCTTGATGGCTGACGTTGGAATATCTGGGCACAGTAGATTAGAAGAGAAAGAACTGGAGAAAATCACAAAATACAAAGACCTGCAAATAGAAATAGAAAAATTGTGGCAAAAGAAAACAAAGGTAGTACCAAGAGTCATAGGCATATCAGGAGATCAACTAAACAGTATTAGCATTGACAAAATCATCAACAGTCAATTGCAGCTTTATTTGAAATGGCTTACATCCTTTGACGATGCCTTTATTTTTAGAACATGCACCTATCCCAGGTCCTGGGAAAGGACTTGGTATGTGGACAAAAATGCCAAATCCAGTCTAAACATCTGTCTGATTGCACACACAAATGTAAAAATTCATTAAATTTATATGCCACTCAACTGCCAATGACTCTGTATAATTAAGCACAGTTACTGCTTCAGTTAGTCATTTTGTTCTGAAACTGTATTGTGAAGTAACAGCATTTTGTAACGGAAATGATATGAGTAACTGCTATAAGATTATTCAGTCCCATTTGAACCATTTAAATAGTGATTAATTTAATCTTAAATTATAATATAATGCACAAATGTATAAAACTTCAATGAAAATCCATATTGCCTGGATTCAATGCTACCTAATCCACATGGGCATTGCGTCTGAACTTCATCTCTGGATTTTTGTCAATTTTGCCCTTCAGTATGGCTGACATAAGACTGTTAAAGCAAGATTAGGAAAGGACCCATACCCACATGAGGTAAATAGGAAAGTAAAATATATTTTGCAATGTAAGCCTGCAGTCATTTAGCCATGTGATTTCCAAATTGTGACCTAAATTATCTATAGGATACTCCTGCCTACAATCTTAATTCTGCACTGGCTTCCTGAGGGCCATAAACTACTATAACAGAAAGCCAGAATGCACCTTTTTTCATTGGAAATTACACTGGAATCATATCCCACTTGCATAATAGTTATGTAGCATCTGGAATAAAGTATCCTCCTTGTTTCAGTGAAATTTTAAAATGGCAACTACACTGTCATGGGCCATATTGTAAGCATAAGTTGCATTACCTTTTTTGGTTCTGGATACTTGAAACATCTAAATATTTAAAATGTTTAGCTTGTTCACTTTTATGATTATCTGTCCTCTAATTATGAGTTGTATTACTATTTTAGAATAACTGCCATTTGCCTTCTCATGATTTATAGACAACTTCTCCTCCTTCCACTTCCTAAAATGAGCCAGAGGCCCTAGGGCAGTTTTACTGCCAACTGTGACAAGCAGTTGGCACTGAGGACTTTAGAATTTCCTAAAAGATCAGGATCCCAGGTTAGAAGTGCTCTTTAAGTAAATTTGTTATCTGAATTTGCTTTCAGGAATTACTATGCCTGTAATAAAAGATCTAGTTACCAATTGCCCTGAAGACACAATTTAAGATTGGATTTTTAAATATCACCAACATCCATCTAAAGGTAGTCTAACGATAGGAGAGTAAATTGGATGATATTCCATGTCTGTCCTTTTCATTAGTTAGAAAATACATTTTTGTACTTTCTGTATTTGAAGGTGATGTTGGAAGTTACATTGATGTTGGAAGTTTCAGACATGGAAATAGGATTCACAAATCTAGCATCACAGTGGTAACACATGGGTATCATAGTTTCTCATAGTGTTTAGTAATTATTACCAGAAGATATGAGACTTCAAAGCAACGGGATTTATAGTTGAGCAATGTAAATATTTTGCAACTTCTGAAATAGTGGCTGAGAATTTATTTTCTTATATATGTACCATATATACTTCTCATCTTTTATTGCAGCATATGAGTAATTATATACCATGTTGTGCAATCAAAGATCAAGTAATACTCAAGGACTAAGAAGGTGAATTAAGAATATGATATAAAGTGTTTTCAATTAATGTATGCTCACAATAATAAACCTATAGTACAATTGCTTACCAGAAATTGTTGAGTAATTTTTGCCACCTGTGCTTTCTGACATCTGTGCACCATATTTTTGCCACCACCTAGATCTGACCTTTCATATGAATTAATTTTTTCCTTTCCATAGATACTATTTTCGTATAGTGAAAAAAATTAGTGTTATGAAATAAAAATCAAATATCTTCATTCTATAAATCAAGACAGTATTATAATGCTGACTTTGTACTTATTGATAAAAATATTTCTGTGTGGGTGCTTATGTTTGTATATTTTTTTTTGCTTGAAATATATATGTTTGTATATTTGTTTGCATGATCAGGTATAACTTTTTTACTGAAACTAGATTTTTATTAATAAAATAAGTTATAGATCAATATTTGCAGATTATTGTTTACTATTACCACTTGCTTAACAATTGAATAATATTGTTTTATTTAACTATTTTAGTTCATGCACATATGAGGTTTATTGATTGGTTTATTGATGCTGGAAGGGCATGAGAGAAAGCAACTATAATATAATGTAGTATAAAATCATACCATATCAGCCTTTGGAATATTAAAACAGCAGGATAGTGGAATAGACATAAATAATGATTAATGAAGTAACCAAGGCCAACCAACATATATCTCATTCAATATTTTGGATCCTATAAGGGCTCTTCCCATGACTGATAAAGCAGGATATTTTTTAAAAATTGGGGGATAATGTACTACTTTCTAATCCTACTTAACTGAGATATAACAGAGATATTAACTGAGATATAAGTATTATCTATTTTACTTAGTTTATTAGCATTTTCACATTTTAGACCTATTGGATATAAGCTATCAAACCTAAGAATTTGTTAACTGTGGAGGTGTCCTAGTAATATGATCTGATATATATTTAATGTGAAGACCAAAAATTGAGATTTGCATTATATTAAACACTTCACATTGTTTATCTCTGTAATCCTTACATGTGTTCATTATAATATGTAATATAATATAAACCAGTGGCTCACACACCTTGTAATGAATTAAAGATGAGACCTACAAAGTTGTTTGGCTGTGTATATAAATAAGTTAATACTGGAAACAGGAATATTGTCATTTCAGTGTACATTCATAATCACTTTGTTGCCAGAGAATATGCATTTTGTTCCAAGATTAAATGTTTAAGTAAAAAGAGTCCGGGTTTTTATAACATAGTTCTAAATACAGTTTATAAAGATTTAAGATTAGATTATTCTCTGTGAACAAGAAGAAAATAATCATAATGCCTGATTTGAAATAATTGCAAATAAATATTAAAAATATTCATTATTAATATTAGTTCACTATAATTTCAACTACTGTTCAAACTTTACAGAAAGATAAGGAAGAGCAATGGCAAGAAAAAAAGGTTCACGGTAATAAAGACTTCATTATTCTTGAGCATTTGCAGTGGACAATGGGCTATGAAGTGCAAATTACTGCTATAAACAGGCTGGGATATTCTGAACCAACTTTATATGAGTTCATCATGCCACCAAAGCCCAATATTATTACAGGTAAGTTAATTTTAATATGTTTTTTAGCAGTTACGTCTACTTTTAGTTTTAACAGACATTAATATGCTTTTTAAATTCCTTTATAAATTATTAAGGCTTTCGGTAAACTTTGTTTCTGACTGCTGGTAGAATAAACAGATAATTATTGTGTTTTACATGCTAATCAATGAGTGAGATTCTTGTAACATTAGATGGTAGAATATGAAGTTACTGATTTCAGCTATTCACGTATGGCTCTGGTTACTTGTGCTAATCAATATATATTACAAAAGCCTAAATCATCAGTATACAATTTACTAATTATAGCCTTTTTTAAACAGCATTTTAGAACAATTTTTGTGGCATTCAGATATAAATGAATTTTATAGATTTTTCCAGAGTCAGAGAGAACAATATGCAAGTACAAACAGTTTTTGCAAAAAAAAAAAAAAAAACACAAAAAAACCCCATACCTTGTATAAGTGTCCTCCTTCTTCATGAAGCAATATTAATGCACAAAGCAGTGTATAAAATATTTTCAATTGGATGTGTTTTGTTTAAAATAACTGCCTGATATTAAGCATGATATTGGAAAACTGCCAGCTAGGCTGAAAGGAGGGGTCAAGTGAGAACCTAACTTGGAGTTGTTGCACAGCCTTTAGTGACATAAGCTTGACCTTCTCCAAGAGCCATAAAGTTATTTTGTTGTTTCCAGGGGAAGGGAAGTAGTTTGGTGAGATTCTTGTAACATTAGATGGTAGAATATGAAGTTACTGATTTCAGCTATTCACGTATGGGTCTGGTTGCTTGTGCTTGACACATAATGACATTTAATGAAATTTGATTATACAGTATTAACATCTTTGCCTGTAAATTAATTATGCTACTTACAAAATTTAGACTAGGTCTTTGAAATGAAAAAAAGGACACATTTTCATGAATGAATTTTCATGAACAACAAAAGTAAAATCTTAGACATGAAGTGTAAATTAAATTTCAACAGCATTCCGTAGCTAGAGGGAGGACAACATAACTTTGTTTATCTTGCAGTGGAGAAACATTTTTGACATGATAACTTTAATTGCGAGATATATTATAACATTTAAAATACCCCTCTGAATTTGAGACAGATTTGAAAAGCAGTTGTGAAAAAATGGATTGTGATAATAATGGCTAAGACAACTTTATTTTTTGAAGTGCTAAAGGATTATATTCTTACAAAGTAGTTGAAGTAAAAAATATTACACGAAACTGACATTAAGATGCCTAAATCTGCACAAATCTCAAAACTTCAGAAAGTCATTCATTCATTTTGAGCTGTCATTAGTTTCATTAGAATTTACTAGAGACTGCCCTCAGTCTAGACAACTTTTAGTTAGCCAAAAATTACTAGCTTAATTTCCTCTGGACAATAAAATTTAGTATTTTGCACTATATCTTTGCTTGCCTGACTGCTTTCATTTATTGTGCAGAAGACTTGTAGAAATTTTCTGAAGTAATACTTAATAATTAACCAGGATTATGTGGTTGCTTCAGGGGCTGTTTCTGGCTGTCTCTGTATGTGTTGGCATGCAGAATTATTTTACACTGTTTTTATTTCAGCAAAACAAAGTAGTTATTCACACAGACACTTATGGAAAGAACTGGATGCTGCTACTGTAAATCTGGAAAAAAAAAACTATGAAGAATTGCGTAGCCTTATTCTCTATCTTCCCTGTTCACTTTCTTTAAATATATTGCCAGCAGAGCTTTTTACAATATTATAATATAAATTTGAGATCCCATATATTTCTCCCTACTCTTTACATCAATTTGGAATTCTTTGCAGGACAGATGTAGGCTTCAGTGCTACTGGCTTCAGTTTTAATATGCATAATGATTCATATCCTTTGATTTTTCTTTGCTTTTTTGCTCACTTGCAATAATATCTGAGCTAGATAGAGTCTCAACTACTCTTGCTATCTATTGGCAGACGTTATTCTGCCAAACAAAAATCAATAAAGAGTGGTGATGTCTATTAATGTACATAATTGATATTCATATACCAAACAAGTAAATGAAAATTTGAAAAATGTTAACCATATAGATTTAAAATTTAAGTCACAGAAAATTTATGCAAGATCAAAAACAATTTTTCATACTATATAATAGTAATTAACTAGCAATAGGATTAGTAGTATTAACTGTTCACTAATATTAACTACGAATGAGCAGCTATTTCTCATAATTATTATTTTTTAAAAAATCATGCAAGAGATGAAGGGAAGAAAAATAAGATAATGCCTGAAATGCCTAGAAATCTGTTTTGTTCAGTCAATCCTCAACCAAAATTTTTATTGATTGGAATGGCCTGATGTGAAGAAAAATATTTAATTCTATATTCTTTAAAAGAATCTATATTCTATACATGACAGATGTATAGACAGATTATGGTTTTCTTTTCCTTTGGAAGAATTGAGATGGCTTATGATGAAGAAAATCACTCCACTCACATTATAGAAGTCATGCTGGCTTCTCTCTCTATACAGCTTTTTTTGTGACCTTGATAGAAAAAAAACCTTGATTGTCCTGCCAAATGTTACTACTGACAGCAGATTCCTTGCAGCAGAGTGATCCAGGATTCAATTAACACAGACCACCTGTAGATAGATGATATTAAAGAATTCAAGGGACGCTCATTTCTTCTATGAATTAATGGAACTTGTTTCATTTTTCCCCAGTTTCTTTAAAATGCTTTAAGAATAGGTATTCATATGCACAACAGAATACATTTGTCAAGGTTAGATGCATATAAATTTAATAAAGTTTTTCTAAGATTCTTCCAAAGTTGCTTTTTCAAAAGGCAACTGGACTTTGTTTTGTTTGAAGACATTTCCCTTCTCATCCAAGAAGCTTCTTCTATTCAGAATTGAAAAAGCTTCTTGGATGAAAAAAGAGATACATCTTCAAGCAAAACAAAGAAAGTCCAGTTGCATTTTGAAAAAGCACCTTTGGGACAGTCATGACCTGGGTGACTTCCATAGATTTTTTTGATTCTAGGTGCTTGAAACATCTAAATATTTAAAATGGTTAGCTTGTTCATTTTAATGATAATTGTTTATGATTATTAAATAATTATGATCATTTTCTAAGATTATTTCCTAAATGACCTCTTGAAAAGTTGTTAACTGTACCTTTTAGTATGGCTTTTGATTCAGTGTTGTCTTGCACTATGGTGTACTTTATCCACAATGCTCGGATTCCTTTTCTAGCCCAACTCTCTTTCCTCGTCTTTCTGGGAATGTTTACATCCATCACACATTCTTCTGGTGTTGATTTATCCTTTTCCCCATTTTTTGCCATTAATCTTCAACTTCTTTAGCAGCCCTAGTTACCAACATTGCCCTCTGTGACTCTAGGGTGGGGATAGGAGATGACATTCTACCTGCCTAACCTGTTCCTTTTGAACTTTGCCACAAACGGTGAACATACAGTACTAGTCTGCAGTATTTGTGTGACTTAAGCTGCAAACCAGACTGACTACCAATAAAATAAAAACAAACATACAAAAAAACTCTTACTTTAATTCTTTAAATCTGCAGATGGATGGGTAAAAAAATACATCTGTCAGCTCCATTTTCAGATATTTGAAAAGAGCTATCATATTTCCTATCAGTTATCTTCTCAAAGATACAGAGATTTTCCTCATCATTTTTATTGCTCTTTTTCTGAATATGTTCCCAGCTTTTCAGAAAATTCTGTGATTGGCCTCCCACAGCTGAGCATAATAGCTAAGATGGGCTTTGACCAAAACAGAATAGAGTGAAATGATAGCTTTCCCTGATTTAGAAATTATACTGTTGTTGCAGATTCAAATTACATTTCTGTTCTTTGAAGGCATTCTGTTCTGCTTGCTCATCAACTACTATTTCAAAATCTTTTTTACAAATACCATGCCATTACCAAATCTAGTATCCGCACTCGGTCTCTGGGCCATCTGATTTTTGTTCTCTCAATGAAAAAATTTCACTTGATTCTTTTAAAATTCATTCTATTACTTTCAACCCATTCTTCCAGCTTTCTCAAAATATTATTTTTTCTATATTCTAATAGCTTAACTATTTTAACAAATTTATTAGCATCTACAAATTTGATAATACACCTACCATCTGTTCATTAAAATAATTAATGACAGAGTTACATTAAAAAAAAAGACAGAACTTTGATTCACTAGTAACTACATCACAAGTTCTAAGATACCATAGTCCTGGCTGTTTTGCTTTTCTATTTGGCTAGTTGACTCATTATGCTATTTCATTATGCTATGAATTAGTTTATTGTCATAAGCACATGAAAGTGTTTCAATAAAATAGTTGTTTCTAAATCTTTTCTTTAGTATACTGATCTGTTGAATGTTATTTTCTGGATATATATATAAAAGATGCTTATTTGTTTTTTCTGTTCATTATCCTGAACAAATTACATTTCCTTGTTTAATTTTTTTTTAAATGTCATATATGGGACTGTATGACCGGGATAAAAAATCACAAATCTCAGTGATCTGAAACAGTGATCTGAGCAATGATCTAAATGCAATAAGTTACCCTAACTGTAAACCTACAATTCCTACACTTGTGAAGATCAGCAGTTTGAAAGTTGTGTACTTTATACACAGTGCTCAGTCATATTCTTCAACAAACCATTTTAATTCTGACCCCATAGAACCCAAACTGTAAATAAAGTTTCAAAAAGAAGAATTAATAATAGAAATGAATTTAGTTAAAAATATATGTAGATAGTATCATAATATATTATATAAATAAAAATGATATTTTGAAAAGCTGAATGATTTTGGTTATATACATATCATATATGATATAATTTATATACAAAACAGAATAATATATCATCAATAATACTTAATAATTGGGGTTTTGGTGATTAAAATAATCCTAGAATTATTCTGAAATGTGGTCTGAAATAGACATTAAAATAATACAATAATAGCACCAATTCTATAGTAAACTCAGGGAGTTGAATTCCTAATTTTAACATTGAGTGTTAGACTATGATCTTCCTGAACTACTTAATATGCAAATTTAATATTTCATTGCCAGGGTTAATATGTGCAGTCCTGTCATTTTTCTACTTGCAGGTAAATCATTTTATAGAAGTATTATACTGTATTAACTCCATGTAACTGAACGTAAATCATTGAGACTACGTAATTTGTAGAGTGAGTTTAGTGAAATATTGTCACTTTTAGTTGTCACTTCTAGTTATGTGGATACTCAGTACAGGTGAGTTGAAAAGAATTCTATTACATTTTTGGTGTCCTTGCTGAACATATCACATGATGAACTAGCTTAAGATGTAAGTAAACTGTAATGATTAAATGACAGCAAGTGCAGCAGTGTGATAATATGATATTTCTGTTCATGTGCAAGATAGCAGTTTAATGAACTTGATCTTTCTTATTATAGTTCACAGAGGAAATTATGGCGGAAATTATCATAATTTTTAATCACTGTTTATCTGAAATTCATCTTACTTTTTAAAAGCCTTTCATTTATCTATAGTTTCAGCATTTTATATTAAAATGATTGCTTTAAGTAACTGACTGGCATTATGTACGGTAAATATTGCATTAATTATTTTTCTCTTTTTTTTTCTTTCTCACTCTCACTGTTCGTTTTTCTTTTTACACATACTTTTTCTCATTTTTTTTCAACTTTTCAATCCAATTTTATATCAATTTTCATCAAAGCAGATACTTGCTGCGAAGCCCATAAAGGTGGAATTGGAAGTCAATCACTGCAGCTGAATGCTGCTGGTTTTGTTTTCTTGATAGTTATAAGTATATTGTGTATTTTTTAATACTGTTGGTGAACCAAGCCCATGCATTTGTTCTGTGATTTTTAAAAAATCTAAAATAGTATGCATCAAATTAGATTTTTGGCACTCTTTTAATATATTTGTCATGTTATGTTAGCACTACAGCAACTGGAGATACTGCATGAATATTTCTCACAAGTGGTTTTTTTTAGTGAAGAAACCATAAATTTGTTTTTGGTAGATATAATTTGATGTAAAGGCTTCATTGCCTAGAAACATATTATAACTCAAAGATGACACCTACCAAGCTAAAATGTCTCCTTGGTTCATCAGTGTAAACAGTTTCAAATACACATATGATTGGTTGCTTGTAGTGTGGTTTAAAGTAAAAGATTTTCTTTTCATCTAACTTTGGTTTTTGCTGATCAATATATAGTTATTAATAGGATTATGAAATCACCTGTATGTTATGTTTAGCATATAATCGGAGCCTTATTATTAAACATTTGGTTTCATCTAAACTACTATGCATATTGCTGTGCCTTTATGAAAATGTGTTTATATGTGATATCTTCCTTATTATATCATTCCTTTTAATTTTTTTTAGTGAAGTTCAGCCTTCACTTACATAGTATACATGCTTAATAAATAAGTGTCTTCAGAAAAGTTTCTTTTTCCACTGAATAATCAAATTGATTTTTTGCCTGCATCTCTATAATATATGTAAGATTATCTCTGCCATTAAATAAATAATTCAAAAAAGATTGTACTGTGCTTATATATAAACAATACCAAATAAAGACACTACAAAATATCACTCAAATCAGAGGGAAGCCCAGAAAATATAGGATCCATGTGCTTATGGATTTTTAGACCACATGATTTTTACATAATATTTATATAATATAATTTATATAATATACAATTTAAACTTTTGTATTTTTTGCACAAACAACTACTTTGTTATTCTAAAGTCTTGGTAACTTCCCCTAATAAATTTTCTTGTATTCTTATCACAATATTTCAGACAATTAAATCCTCTAATTATTATAATATTAATATTATCTTAATATAAAATACAACGATAAACTAAAGCAGTTTGCTCCATGCATACTCATGCAAACACAACCAAAAAACTCTTTCTCATATTACAGCTATCCTCTAAATGTCATCATGACTTTTACTTCAAATGTCATTAAATTTTAAGGCATCTTTGAATGTTGCTGATAAAATGACTTGCAGATACATTGCAAATCAAAATACAAGATGTTAGATTTCTGATCTTGTAAGGATATTACTTCAAACCTCATAAACATATTTACTCTAGTTCTATACCAAGGTATAGAATGTAGCCTAAAAAAGTTTTTTCTAATAAATTCATGCAAATGGTAATGTTGATAATACAAGGCAATTCCCATATCAAAACCTGATAATACATGTGGTTGGTTTAAAATACAAGTTATGTAATAGGGATAATTAGAATATTTCATGCTTCTACCAGAGAAAAATAGTTCTATGTTACTTTAATTCTAAACAATAATAATAAAAAAATTGCAACAACTTGCCTAGTTGCACCAGCTGTGTCATTAGCATTCTCCATGAAATGGTTTTGGGGTTGTTGGGGTTTTTTTTGGCTCTTTTATAGAGATTGGAATAATGATGTTCAAATTCATATTGGCCAGAGAATCTTACTAAAAATACATAATTCTGTGAGTTTACTTTTTAAAAGTAAAGTTTTTTTACCCATTGCATTTTGCTGGGATAAAAACCAGCATAGCATGAGCTGCAATGACTCACACTGTTTCATTCCTTTATTAGGCTGGCAAGTAAGTAAGTAAGTAAATAAGTAAGTAAGTAAGTAAGTAAGTAAGTAAGTAAGTAAGTAAGTAAACAAATAGTCATTGGACACCATGGCATTTTAGTAAAAAAAAATATTACAGCTTTGCTACTTTCTTTAAAAGAAATAAAAGTTAAAGTTTAGGCTTTCACTTAAATTTTTGAAATTATTCTTACAGTGACTGAAGAAAAGGAAAGTTTCAGACAAGCACTGTCATTGTTAAAGCTACCAGTTAACATAATAAGTATATATATATAAGAGTTATTTTAAGTCTCTTAACATTTTTCAGAACTAGTTTATGAATTTAAAATCTAAAATATGATAATCTGTAAGATTAGTTCTAGCTGCAGTTCTCTTCAAACTTACACACATTGTGTTTACAGTTGATTTACAACTACAATAGGAAGCAAAAAACTCATTGTTAAGCAGCACAGTCATTAAAGGAATCATCACATTATCAATTTTACAAGCTTTATGCTGTGCTTTTTTTAAAAAAGCCATTGTAGTTAATTAAGACATTGCATGATTGTGACGTGCAAACATCTTAGCTGGCTTCCCCATTGACTTTGCCTGTGAGAAGCCAGCTGGGATTGCAAATGATGATCATGTGACTATAAATTGTTGTAACCATTGTAAATGTGCAATGATTGCCAAGGGTTCAAATCATCATGTGACCATGGGGGACACTGACTATTATAAATATGAGAATCAGTCATAAGTCACTTTGTTCAGGACTGTCATGACTTCAAATGGTTGCTAAATGTTGGTTGTTAAGCAAAAAACTTCCTGTATTTGGAAAAAAAAATTGCACTGAATCCCATAGAGCTGACTTCTGAAAATGAATTAGAATGTTTTTAAATATGCACAAATTGTTCTGCTTCAGTGGAAACATACTGCTAATTTTGGTGACTGAAGGAATCTATAGTTACATTTTTTTTTAAAAAAGTGAAACAAGGAAAATAAAGCTGATTAATATAAAAGTTTCTGAAACTTTCCCATGGACACAGACTTGCACTGTATTTATCTTAAAGAAAGATTAAATTGAGAGATTTGAAATTAAATATTTACCTTTGGTATTAGGGAGAACATTAACCTATTTCAGATTACATCTGATAGATATCGCATACAATTTATGTATAGGATTTCACTTTTTAGTTTGGGAAAATATAGCTAATTCATAATAGAAAGAAGTTGTAGTGTTCAAACAGCATTATAATTCTATTTTATCATGTGCATGTTTCTTTAATGAAATGTAGATAATAAAGCAGCAGCCATAATATTAGATTTCTAAGAACTGCAGTCTAGGATCGACATATTGAATATCTTCAGACAAGAAGCAGAATCTATAAGACAACAGGAAATTCTATTCCCAAATATGTCTCACTTCCACTGATACTTCTTTGCCCCAGTTAATGGTAATTCATGATTATTGATCATTAGTAATCATTTCCTCTTCTAATTTTCAGAGAGGGTGGCTAGGCAGAAACATCCAGTGGGAAAAAAAAATTGCAACACAGAGAACCTGAATTAGGTTGCTCATCTTATATCTTCACTATGGCAAATTTATTGGTAGCAGGCTTCAGGTATTCAGGCTTCCTTGCCTATTCCATAACCATCAAATGGCTTTCTCATCACTCTAATCATGACCCTTGTAACTAAACTTTTTAAAAGTGACATGGAACAGTATAAAACAAACAAGATCCAGTATTTATCCTCCTTGACAGGTTGCCCAATTGGAGTTTGTAACCATGGTTTGCATGACAGGAATGGACAACTTCAGTTTAGTATAAGCACTGTTGTCCTATTTTCCTTTTTCTAGACCAATACTACATTTTTATTGGCACCTGAACTAATGTTATAACCGTTGTGCTAGTAAAAAAGAATCTGCAGCAATTGTTTTTTCAGGAAAAAAACAGGAAATAAAGGAAAGCATTTTTTTTATTTTAAAGATGATTGTTGTATCTGTACCTTATGTATTTTGATGTTTTCTCTCTTCATCTCTCTGTCTTTTTCTGTCTCTGTCTCTGTCTCTGTCTCTCTCTCTCTCTCTCTCTCTCTCTCTCTGTCTGTCTCTTTTGGAATGTGTATAAGTGTACACATACACAGAAACACACATATTCAATGTCAACTATTTAAGGATAGCACTGTCTCAAAGTCATTGTCCAAGGGTCTATCTTGCAGCTGCTGCTAAAATATCTCACTGCAAATAATTTTCTTCTAAAGACACCGAGGGACCAGAAACATTACCATTTTTTTTTTTACAATATAAAAATATATTGAGAACAAACAAGGATAGTATATCACATGCATTCTAACACCTATATTACCTACAATCCTGGCATATATGATAATAAACAAGACAAAGCTTGATAATAACAAAGGACTGGCCCAGCTTTTGGAATGAAGAACAGAAAGAAAGTCTGCAAATATGAGCTGTAAGCTAATTGAGAAGTTAGCTGGAAGTTGAAAGATGTAGATGTGGAAAAGAAAGAGAAAGATAAAAGATAAAAGAAAAGAAAGGCTTGTGACATTCGAGTATAAAGGTGGCACATATTTCTCTTGCCATTTCCCCAAACAGTTTCCCACCAGTAAAAAAAGTAATGGATGAATTTTAATTTATTTAATAAAAAATTTAAATTAGTTGGTGACTTATTCATTGGGATTGAACTCTTATTGCATAACATTAATGAAAACAGTGTATAATGTAGTTTGCATTGGAAGCTTTATGTGTGTTATATAATTCAATTAATTCCAGTAATTAATTGCCTTTATTATTAACCCTTTAAAAATCCTGATATACAGATGAAGCAATCTTATTAAATGTAGCATTCAGTCTCTAAATGTCATGTTTGTCTTAATCCAAAGTAAGACTGCAGAGCATTCTAATCTTTTGAAAAAAAATACCAGCCTGAATCTAATGATTGCTTAGATCAACCCCTGGGCTACATTAAGGGGCCGTGAGCCATGCGGAACTGGGCCACGGAAGCAGTAGGCAAGTGTGCATATGATGCATCTCCACTTCCATGAGCAATGAGTGAGCAGTGGGCAAGAGCTTGTGTATGCAGTACATGAGCAGTGGGCATGCATGGTCCCCACTTGCGCAAATGTAGCTGCATGCGCGCTTGCCCACCACTTTTGTAAAATCATCACCTCTTCTCCCCCCCCAGTCCGCAAAGCCAGAAAGTTGGGGAATTCTGATTTACGTTACATTTTAATCTTGAATTTATTAAATTAACTTTAATTAGAATGACAGTTTCCTGAAGCTTATTTTAGTCTGAAGCTGGCTTCTTTTAGCATGAGACCACCAGCATTCTCTTTCTTCTCATCTGTAACAAACAAAAAAGTGAAAAAGAAACTTATATTCAAACTTAAATCCAAGTTTCACTTGTATGTACTATCACTGAAACAGAACCCTGTATGAGAATAAGAATGAGGAAATGAATGAAGTCATATCTAAAACATTATTTAAGAACAAAACTCTCCAAATATAGAATATGTATATTTAAAGTATATTTATGAAGTGTACATTTTTCATTTAATTTTTGTCCATGTCATTCTATGTTATTAACAATCACAAATGTTTACTGTCATGTATCTTATTTTTCTTAAAGATGTGCAAATTGTATATGTAATAGCCTCTTCCTAAATGTAATGTCTAAATATATGTAACTTTATGCATATTCTTCATTGCATACTTGCTTGGTGTCAGTTTTCTTTTATGTAACCTTTTTAATTTGGAATCAATAAATGTGATATAACATCGCTTAGCAGTACATTTTTTTAAAAAAAAATTGATACCACATATTGGTAATGTTCCACATTTTTTCCACATTACATTTAATTTGCAACATTCTTTTAAAAAATCATAAAAAATATCAAGATCAACCCTGACATATCCAAAAATATAATTTAAAAAGATATTAAAGTATTGTTTTATTATACTATATTATGTATCCTATCAAATTATATAGTCTTTCTTCTGTTTTCAAAACTGATTCTAACATTGACTAATAGTTAAAGATGGCATTTGCTTGAAGGTTAAAAACTCCAAGCTGTATCTTTTAGGCATATTAGTTGTCTTCTCTTCTTGTGTTGTGTGTCTTAATGAGGGAACCAATAAACATAAAGCATAGATCAATCAGTGTGAGCCTCCTACTGCCTAGATCACAGATTCCCAAATTTTATGCCAACAGGTACTGTAATTTGGAATGTTTATTAATCATATTTATATGCCATCCTTTTCATTATATAAGAGACTCTGTGGGGTTTACAATTAAAGAGACCATAAAAACCATATAAAATATACAAAGTTAAAAAGATGGAGAGAAAATATGACTTTGACATGACCAGTCTGATGAGGTAGCTGTTCAGCAGTATATGGTTAGTAATAAAATATTGTTTATTAGAAGCTGAGCGGATAAAGTTACTTTCACTAACACCGTTCCAAACATTCCTATGCTGGATACACTACTATCTCAGCTTAACATTTTCTGATCAGAGAAGTACATTTCCCAACAAAAGACTAGACTGTCCTTTTTCTATTTTATACTTTATATTAAAATTTTATATTTAGTTATAACTACCATTTTTCTTTCATCTATATCCAACCTCTCTCTTGCTTTTTTGCTCCTTCCCTCCCTCCCTCTCTCTTTCTCATTGCTCTTATCTGTATCTATTTACATATTACATGTGTATCCTTTTATAATTTATGTGGATCACCAAAGATTCTTGCAAATAAAAATTATAATTATGCTTAAGACTGACTCTTTTCTTTGCAGCATATTAGTTTCCCACTAAAACAACAACTCAATACTTAAAGTCATAGATCCTAACTGGTGTCAAGAGTGGTCACTGAGCAACACAAAGAGGATCTAGGATTTACATGTCCATCACAGCCGAGATTTCTGTTTTGTCCATAAGTGCTTCCATTATTTGGAAATTGTTACAGTTATCAATGATTGAATTACATCATATCCACCAAATAAAATACATAGCGATATCTTCATGTCCACTGTAGAAATTTGATTAATCCACTTTTTATGTGCAGTATACTTGTATTGTTTATTGCCGTGGAAATCATAAAATATTAACTTGCATTCCACAAAGACTTATGCTGTGGTGTATTTATCTTTAAGTTGAAGAAAGTCTTATTTTGTAATTATCTGAAAGTTGTTTACTTCTAATAGTAATGCATTGAGTGACAATTTTTGAGGAATTTGTGATTTTGTTCTCTTCATATCAGGATATACTATACTAATTATCATATCAGGATATACTATACTAATTATTACTCTTACATTGCTCAGATTATTCCTCACAAACTTCTATTTTTAATATTCTATGGATGCTAAAATGATGGAATGTGTATTTTGATAAGACACAAGCTCTGCCCTTTAGTACTTGTATTACAATGCTGCATGCAAACACACAGGGCAGAATTCATCTCACAATGTCACATGCATATTTTCCTATTTGCTTCCACTTCCTATCTTGACACCCATAGTTTTAAAATATATATTTATCTTCACTAAATAAAAAACAGCAGTGTTCCTGAAAGATCCATAGACAGCACTTTAAATCTTGTTTGCTTTATTCTGATTTATAACTATTCTTCATGTCATAATGATACAACATTAACTAAAGATACTGTCACAGATTACATACACAGGGAAAACTTGCACGTTTCAAACCTGGTACGCCTACTAAATAAACAGTTCATAATTAGTTCAGTTAAATGCACAGTGTCTGGTAATCAGTATAAATGAAGAAAACTATCCAGAAAATTCTTCTACTTACACATAGGTGCAAAAGGCTTCCATTGATTTTAATTGCTACAATCAATGAAGCTTTTGTACAGTTAAAGAAATATACAGAATATTAACCTCTGTTGATCAAATAAGTTAAAGAATTCAGAAGAACCTGCCTGAGTGGCGCAGCAGACTAATGCTACTGTTAAAGGTAGTATTTAGCTTCCAGCTGCCTGCAATTACTGCGAGTTCAGTTCTCACCAGGCTCAAGGTTGACTCAGCCTTCCATCCTTTCTAAGGTAGGTAAAATGAGGACCCGGTTTGTGGGGGCAATAAGCTGACTTTGTATAAAATATACAAAAGTATGAAGGCTATTGCTTAACGCCTTGTAAGCCGCCCTGAGTCTCTGGAGAAGGGCAGCATATAAATAATAATAATAAAAAATATCTAAGAAGTCACTATTTTTTTCTCATTTGTTTGCAGAAAAATACTGTTTGCAGAGACTATGCATATATGGTATTTCAGTTAATGGTATTTCAGTTAATGTAATAATGGATTACATATTGCTTATTTTTGAAAAGGTAACATATGCATTAAATAGAACACATAAATAACAGTTTACTTGTCCTAGCTTAAAATGTCATTTCTCTTTTTCCTAATTTTTTTTCCTATTTGAATGATAAATATATTTTTTTTCTTTCTAAAAACATTTTATATACTCTATTGTATTCTTTTTTTTTAACCTCATTGTTCTGTTTCACTCTTTAAATCTGGGCTACTAAGTTTTGTCTTATTTGTCATTAATTCTACAAATCTTGGCAGAAAACAGCTATTAGTAGTTAAAATGTATTAGCTGGCTGTAAGAATAAAATCAGCTAAAATGAGAGTGTATGTTAACTCACATTCTGTATTTTCTCTTGAAGTTCTTTGGACTGATGCACATAGCTTCATAATATAAAATATTTTTTTAAATGAAGTAACTGATTATTTCCTATGAAAAGCAAGAATGAGAAAGCACACATTAATTATCCAATTAATTATATTAATCATACACATAGTAGATATTATGGACAATTTAGTAGTAGATTCCAGGAGTCATATCATAGATAAAATATCATGGACTGTTGCTTATGCCATGCTAAGATTAAGAAAGGCGGTATCATTAAGCAATGTGTTCATCAGGAATTTTTGTGTGTAAATGACAGCAGAAATTAGAGTTAGAGATAGTGGTAGAGATAGAGACAGATATTCTCATCTCATGCATGTCCTTCATACATGTTTATATGAAAATACCATCTATTAGTGATGTTGTAGGAAAATAGTTTACATTTGCCATTTTGATCTCAGATCTACATATAGTAATAATAAGGACATAAAGTATCAAAATGTATTTGTAAGAGTGTGAATTACAATAGTTTTTATGATGCATCTTTTGGATTGTAAATACAGATAGAAGTAATTCTTCAATACAGACTGAAGTCATAGGTTATGAACTTACGAATATTGAAATATTTTTAAGGACAGTGAACAGAATGTAATTCTTATAAAATAAAATATTGTTCTTCAAGTTATTAATGTTTATGGAAATGCCATGTAAGAAGCCACTATCTGCAAATAAATTAATATTTCTTCTGACATTTTTAAAACATTTCTTTCCAAAAAAAGAATTGCTGCTCCATAATCCTGTTAGAGTAAGGTAAAAACAATGTCTGAATAACCAGACATTTTTTTTAATAAAAGTTTGCTTAAAAAATTAATTGACGATATTCCAATGAAAAGCTGGTATGTATGTATGCCTGTAGAAGGGGCTTATTGGTTCAAATATTTTTATTAGTTTATCAAAATATAAAATACATAGAAAAAATAAAGATAATGGGAAAATAAGGGAGAAAAGGGGAAGAGAGAAAAGTGTGGGGTAAATGGGAAAAGAAAAAGAAAGCATTGACTTCCAATTGCTTTTAGTGCAGTAGAATAAGGTAGTAAATAAGGTAGTAAAAACCTTTTAATTTTTTTATAATAATATATACTAGCCATTTCTATAACCATAAACCTATTCAATCAGCAATTTCGTTTTTTCCACCTCAAGGACAAAGTCCGTACACTAAAAATGGTTTCAAAATGAATTGTGTTCTTTTCTTTCATCAAAGAAGTCACTTTAGCCATCTCTCCATCAAATTTAGCCAACTCCCATCAAATTTTGCAGCCATTTGTCCATTGTGGGAATCAAAGTATCCTTCCATTTTTGTGCATGAAGTATTCTTGCTGTCATTAACATATATAACATCAAAGTTCCAATTTTTGAAGATTTGTCTGGTGTTAGATACCAATGGTACATCCTTATAAAGTTTGCTTTTAAATTATAATTTAATATGAATTTTAGACCTTTAGTCCACATATTCGCCTATTGTTCAATATTATATCCAAAGTTCTTTGTCCACTGAGCCATACAGTGGGTTACATACCGATTCTCCAAGTTCAATTTCAATAACAGTTTACAAACCTTAGCAATAATATGTTCATCACTACCATACAAAAGATTTCCAATTAATTTTTCACAAAATCAAATCCAACAAAAAAAATCCTTTTTGTCTAGTTTAAATCTTTCTTTCAATTGTAAGTATCTAAACCAATGGCAAACATTTCCTTCTGATTCCATCTCCTCTTTAGATTTGAGGATAGGATCTCCATTTACCATAAATCCACCAGTCTGGCTTCGCCCCATTTCTTTTCTAAAAAAAGCTTCCTGGGGAGAAACCAGTAGTGGGTTGCCCCCAGTTTGCACCGGTTCTATAGAACCGGTAGTAAAACCGGCAGGAGGCTCTGCCCACTGACCCTGATGTCATCAAAATGCTTTTGCGCATGTGCAGAAGCTTCTGCGCTTGCACAGAAGAATGTGTGCACGCACAAGCAAAGTGAGTGTGCGCGTGCGGCCCCGTTGCAAACCGGTAGTAAAGGTAGGTAGAACCGACCCCTGGGAGACATGTATGTCAGAAGTGGCTTGCCTTTCTATGGCTGA